CCAAATTCGAAAAAAATGTCTCTTGTTAATTTGGTGGCCGACCAATCGCCAATGCGCTTTCCGTACAGTCGTGTCGCTAGTAGCGTTTATTTTTTTAAACAGCCAAGTCGTGTACGTGTATTATTTAATATTTAAAAAAAATTGTTGCTAAGTCGTGCGACCAAATGTCCCGGAATGCGCGCACGAACTCGTAATATTTCTCGGAAAGATCAGCAGTGCTGAGTCTGGGAACCGCTTTCCGTGGGTGACCACTTTTGCAAGTGACGGCATAGGTCTTGTGGTGGCTACGTGGTTTTGCAGCCCGATAGCAGTACAGAAACATTTGTTTCCACGTCGATATGCTCAACGCGATCCAACTCGGCGCTGACCAGTATGGTGAAATCCCAAAAGCCACACAACGTAGGAGAGGCCCTCATTCAACAGTTGGATGACTGCATAAAACAAAGGCAGCACGACATGATGATGATGTCGACTTTTAGGTCGAGTGAACTATGCTTAATAGGTCCCCCCCCCCCCTTTGTTTTTAAATGTAAGGTTTCACAGTGGAGGTATATTATTCACTATGTATGGGCTCTTTCACCTGTGTTAAGTTATTCCATTGTTACGCGTTTGTATTTGAACTCGCATGTCACCCCCACGTGTTTTTTTTTCCTTTGGCATTTTCAAATAAAAAGTTCAGGCTTGTCAAATGTAACAAATACATCATTTTTTAATTTGTAAGTTGCGTTTGTACACATCGCAGATAACGCTGTCCTTTGCACTTTTCGTTTTGACATTTTCTCGCAAAAGTGACATCTGAATAACGCACCTCCACTGAAATGCAGTCTCAAATGCCCCACCTGACCAGCGCCTTTACCTGCGATCACGTTCACCTACTGTAGAGCTTAATTCAATATTTATCTCCGTTAACTACGGAGTGGATATAGAGACGGCGAAAGAAAACAGGAAAGACGGCTTTCAGAGATGGCGAGAGATGAAATCAAATTGAGAATTTGGAGGTCGCAAAAGTAAAGATCAAGCGAGGAAAAGAATGGGAAGAAAATCGGGAGAGGCTTTTTGCCCTGCAGTGTGAAGTTACAGGCTGACAGAAAACACAACTTTCACGTATTAACATCGAAGCGAGTTCCTGTTCTTGATTCTTATCCTAATTTGCAACAAATATATCACAATACAGTACATTGGTGAGGTACAGTTAATGTATGGACCAGATGAGGCAATGGTGGGTAATGACAATATTTGTTCATTACGTAACAGTAATGGGATGCTTGGCCAATTCAATTTGTGAGTGAGTGTTTGATGCATGGGGGCTCAAGAGCCTAAAGGACGTGTGTTCTTTTTAAGCGGCTTTGCTGCTCGCTACAGTGACATGTTCTCTGCGCTCACGCTTTTAGGCGGAATTGTCTCCCAGTATTGCACACGAGTAATGTTACTCTCTCCACTCTGTCTCTCCTCCAACTCGCGTGGAAGGCGCGCCCGATCTTGCAAGATCAAAGAAGCCAAATAGAGACGAAACCTGGATAGTCCCCTAGATCGTGCATGAATGGGCGACTGCCATGGATAACACTGTGTAACAATTTTTTTTTGTTCCTGGGTAGTAAGTGTTATTTCCTCTTTGCTTACGCCTCATAAATTACAGAAAATAGCTATTATTCGCCACAAACTTTGCTTTTGTGACCAGGACTTATTTTCAATGAGAAAACGGGCGAATTTGTGTGTTTTCGTTCACATAAAGTCAGAAAAAAACATATGAATCAAAATCTACATGTATTTATACTAAAGTAATACAAAATTACTACAAAAGATTTAGACACCAAGGCGCACTACCACAGATGGGACTGGCCACAGCAGACAGAGTTATCTGTGGGGAGGAACAACGTCACTGGTGGACCCCCGGAAGGTGCTGATGCCACCACTGCACATCAAATTGGGCCTTATTAAACAATTTGTCAGAGCTATAGATAAGGAGTCGGCAGCCTTCAAGTACATTCAAGACTTCTTCCCTAAGCTGTCTGAGGCAAAGGTCAAACCCGGTGTCTTCGTCGGACTACAGATAAAGAGGATCCTGGAGTGCAATGAAACTCACTAGTTAGGAGTAAGCGGCTTGGAACAGCTTTGTCGCAGTGGTTCGTGGCTTCCTGGGCAATCACAAGGTCGAAAACTATGTGGGGCTGGTTGAGACTGGTGAAGAACTACGGCACAATGGGCTGTAGGATGCCCCTCAAAGTCCAGATCCTTGATGCTCATCTTGATAAATTCAAGGAGAACATGGGAGCGTACTCGGAGGAGCAAGGCGAGCACTTCCACCAGGATATACTGGACTTTGAACGCTGCTACCAAGGACAGTAAAACGAGAACATGACGACATTTGGGGGCTGATTCGTGAAAGTGATTGAGGGTATAATCATAAATCTCGAAAAAACTACTCACTTATACATCTTTTGTAGTCATTTTGTATTACTTTAGTATAAATACATGTACATTTTGATTCATATGTTGTTTTTTCTGACTTTATGTGAACGAAAAAACACAAATTCACCCGTTTTCTCATTGAAAATAGATACATTTCTAAATATTACTGTCCTGGTAACAAAAGCTAATTTTGTGGAGAATAATAGCCATTTTCTATACCTTTTAGGCATAAGCAATTACTAAATAACACTGACAACCCAGGAACAAAAATTGTGTTACATCGTGTAATAGATGTAGGGGTGCTACTAGTGTGCAGCAGAGGGCAGTGCAGCAAATCCATGTTGTACCGCCTTCACCAAACCCGCACTGAACTGCGTGGTCCAAATTAAAGCCATGCTTTTGTTGATATTGGAATGATAATTATTTTCCAGCTGTGCGCTCATTGACTATAGTCATTCAAGTGCCTTATTTATATTAAGACAGCACTCCTGCAGCCCATCACTCTTTAAATCCAAAATCTCGAAGTCTTAAGGCCCTGTCGATAATAATTGTCCATGTTGCCTATAGTACGGTATTTATACGTGTTGGATGAAACCTCGGTGGTCGGAGAAAACCCACGCTTTGGAGGAGAACCTCCGTACAGATGGCCGGTTCTAAGCTTCGTAGGCACTGCCACCTTGAGGCACCTCCTTGCCCTGCAGGTGAATTATTACAAGTTCATTATGAACATTTAAAAGTACTTTTGGCAATCCGCTGCTGGCTAAAGGTTATCGTTACCACGCCGTGTGCACCGTTGGGGGGGACCATTCGACCATACTTCACCAAACAAGTCAGTGCGGGTAGGTGAAGGAGGGGAAGCACGTTTACACGTTGGAGCAGAGTACATAATAGCAGGTACATGTGGAGTAATTGATTTAGGCATTGATTGATAATATTCTAGTTACAGATACCGAATTTTTTTGCCAAACTATTATGTCATCGTTAAATTGATCACACTATTTCCCGTGCCCCCGCCACAAACAGTATCACTGCCTATAAGAATATGTTTTACCCTTTCTGGCAATAATACAGGTGTTAAGATGTTCAAACACCAAACTGAAACCTTTTTGAAGGAATCATGTCTGCATTAACTACATGTACATGCAAACAAACTCAAAAACGTGCTCTGACAGTATGTGCGTTGTCTTTGAAACGGATTGGTCCACACCAGAGACAGCTTTCTTTAGAGCCCAGTATCAAACAGTGTTTCGTCCCGAGGACGCCAAAAGGCGAACAGCACAAAGACAATGCACTAAGGGGCCGTCCATAAATGACGTCACGCACCTGGGGGGGAGGGTCAGACATTTGTGACGATGTGTGACGAGGGGAGGGGGCGTTTGAGAAATGTGACGTCACATCATAATGCACAACTTTAAATAAATATAGACAACACGTTCTACCTAATTAAATAGACTTTTTAATAAATGTTTTCTCCTACAACATCAGAGTGCAGCGCCACATTAAATACGTACTACAATGACAATAGTTTAAAGCGATTTGAAGCATTTTTTTTATATATTTGGGGGGGGGGGGCAGAGCTTTGTGACGTCATATTTGAGGGGGGTCTGACTTTTTGTGACGCCGTGTGACGATGGGGGAGGGGGGGTAAAAAAATCGTCCAAAATCGCGTGACGTCATTTATGGACGGCCCCTAAGACAATGTTTTAACATCTTGCCAGAAAGGGTAAAACCTATTCTTATATTTTGATACTGGCAAGGGAGGTCCCATGAAGTATCACTGCCTTTAATAAGCGTCATTGCCCGAAACGTCGTGCCCATTCCTATTAGAACCACGATATCTCGCACCTCCGGGGGGGATGGGAGGGGGGGTGGCGGGGGGGATTAGATGGGGGTGGGTGGGATGGCGGGGGGGTGGGGGTGGAATGGGGGGTGGGGATGGGGGGTTGGGATGGGGGGGGTGGGATGTGGGGGGGATGGGGGGTGATGGCGGGGGGGATGGGAGTGGGGTGGGTGGGATGCCGGGGGTGGGATGTGGGGGGGATGTGGGGGGGATGGGAGGGGGTGGGAGAGGGATGGGAGGGGGGATGAGGGGGGGGGATATGAGGGGGATGGGATGGGGGGGATGGGATGGGAGGGGGGATGGGGGGGGGATGTGGGGGGGATGGGATGGGGGGGTGGGATGGGAGGGGGGATGGGGGGGGGATATGAGGGGGATGGGATGGGGGGGGTGGGATGGGAGGGGGGATGAGGGGGGGGGATATGAGGGGGATGGGATGGGGGGGGTGGGATGGGAGGGGGGATGGGGGGGGATGTGGGGGGGATGGGGGGGGCGGGATGGGTGGGATGGGGGGGGGATGTGGGGGGATGGGGGGATGGGAGGGGGTTGGGAGGGGGGATGGGAGGGGGGGGGATGAGGGGGTGGGATGTGGGGGGATGGGAGGGGAAATTTGGGGGGTGATGAGTGGGGGGGATTAGGGGGATGGGAGGGGGGATGTGGGGGAGGTGGGGATGGGGGGGGAGGGGCTGCTGTTACAATGACGACGGCACGCATTCGATTTGGTAGCGCGGATAGGCAGCAGCGGCGGCGGCGGAGCTTGCGTCACCCGCAGTGTGGGTGACGTTGCCGGCGGCGGCGGCGGCGTGGGGCTGACGTCTTGTGGACGTCCGCCCGACGCAAAGCGTCTCCGGAACGGGGAGAGTCCAACAAGTTACGGAGTCCGCAGCTGTGCGGCGATCGTGTGCGTTCTTTACTTCACCAAATATTAGCGGCTCAACGCTCCATGTATTTATTCGTAGGCACGCGGTACAAGCGGCGTTGTTGTTGTTGCTGCTGCTGCAGCTGTTGTTGTTGTTGTTGATTCGAGAGCGCCTCGTCCGTGTTGTTTACCCACGTTGCGTTTCAAGCCGTTGCGCGTGGATTATTTCAAAAGGCTGGGGGGGGACCTCAATTGCGATACGGAGCAGTCTTTTGTGCAACATTCATCGCCTTCTGTGCTCTGCAATCGTCGCCTTCGTCACCAGGGATGTTATAATAATAATATCGCGGGGTTAAGGTCTAGTTCCGATCAAAACATCGTCGCAATGATGTGAGCAGCAGCAGCAGGAGGAGGAGGAGGAATTACTTCCTACACCCCTTATCCAACCAGTCCTGTATTCTCGGAAGGAGGGGAGATCTTTTGTTGTGTTGATCTGCTTCGTGCAACTGCGTGCACACACGGACGGGGCCGTAAAGCGTCGAGGATTTTTTCCCCCTCCGCGTTTAGGTCGAAATTCATCAACGATCACACCTCGATCATCCGAAACAACGGCGAATAAACACATGGCGTAGCTGGGCTTTATATTCGCAAGGCTACTCTGCCTGCCTGCTGCTGTTGTTGTTTACGGACGGACAGGAATCAACAACAACAACACCCTTTTTGTTGTTGTAGTGGTGGTGGTGGGTGGCCCGTGACCATCAGCGTGGGTCTGAATCTGGCAAGAGGGCCCACGATTCACTGACAACAGCTCAGCCTGGTAAGGAGCACCAGGCAAAGAGGATTAAAGGACGAAGAACTCCACCCCCACCACCCCCCCCTGGGTGTCAGGATCTGTGGGAAGAAGAGGGAGGAGGTAGGGGAAGAGGGTGGTGGAGTCTGGGATCTCCCCGATCTGATAGGAGACGAGCAAAGCCATCTGGCCATTGTGGCCACCCCACATCTGTTCGGGGAGGAGCAGTTTCGGCTCTACTGGAGAGACCTGGGACTGTAGGGGGGAAGGATGAGGATAGCTGGTCAGTACCACGGACTCGGATAACATCGTGATGAGAAGATCATCTTTGTGAAGAGGACAAAGGCCCGGGGAGAAACCGGCCACCCTGGCTACCGTGGATTTGTGACCGTCTGGAACGTGTAGAGACGGACACTGGAGCAAGACCGATCTACCAACACCAACACCACCACCAACACAAGCTCGTGGAGTGACCGAGCACCCGGTAAGAGCCTCTTTGGCCGTGTGCGGTCTGCATCCGGGTAGAGAATGTTGTGAGTGGTCGTGATGTTGTTGTTGTTGGAGGTGGTTGTGGTATGGTGGTGGTGTACGATCTGTTGGAGATGCCAATTATCGTTGTGATTCGGGAGCCGACAGGTGAGGATGGTGGTGGTGGTTTTGTAGGTGGTGGGTGTTGGTGGTTATCGTGTCGGATGGTGCTGATGTTGGGGATGGAGGTGGTGGTTGTTAAGGGAGGATGATGATGATGGTGGTTGTTAAAGGAGGTGATGATGGTGGTGCTAGAGATGTGGGGTAAAGATTAGCGCGCTGTGCCACGACTCTGGCCACACGAGTTCGATCCCCGAACACCGGTGACGACTATCTGAACCGATCCTGAGCCTCCCCTAGGTTGACTCGGCCTCAGTGAGTACCTGGGGAGACAAAGGCGGCCGGGCAGGGCACTGAACACCCACCCCCTCGTGCGCCGTGCCGGTCTTAATAGGTGCTTGCTAACATCACTTACCCCAACAATCTGTTAAGGCTACACGGGGGGGGGGGGGGTCTTTGTTGTTAAAGAAAGTGCATGTGTGTGAGCGGTGGCACATTGGTTCGTAGCCACGAACCCAGTGATCATCCTTCAATTCCCGCTCATGACCAACAAACCAGTGGCGAACAATTTTAATTGGTCCTGGGCCTCTCTCCGTAGGCAGTCTGGTTCTTGAATGAGTACCTCGTGCGATATGTAACAACAAAGGCGGCCTCGTGTTGTTGTTGGTCACCCATTCCCCTCTCGTGTGCCATGCCGGCTTTCATAGATGCTCGCTAACGACACTTGCCACTTACATTCTGTTAAAGCTATGTGGGGGGTGGGGGGGGATCTTTGTTTTTAAAAGTGCAGGTGGCATTTTTGGTGGTGGCGGTGGTGGTATTGGAGGTGGTGGGCCCAGGATCCGGGCCGTGGTGCTGATGGACGGTGCTGTTGTTGTAAGTGGCGCGGTAGTGTTTTCAGAGATTGTGGTGGTTGATGATGGTGGTGGCTGTTCTTCCCAGGAGCAGACGGTTGCTGGTATTGGAGTTCCTGGAGGAAGCGGTGTTAGAGGAAGTGGAGGTGGAGGAGGAGCAACAGCAGCAGCAGGAGACACAATGGCAGGCCTGCTGTGCCGTCTGGTTGCGGCCGCTTTGCTGAGCCCTGCCGCGTGGCCCGGCGCCTCCTCGGCCACCGACAAGGAAGAGTCGTGGTACACGGCCTTCGTGAACATCTCCTACGTGGAACCCGACAGCCGGGAGCCACGCTCGGAGCGCACAGAGTGCGGCCGCTACGGGGACGACTCTCCCAAGGTGGAGGCCAGGGGCATCTTGGTGGCCCCCACGGGAGACCGCTCGGCCTGCGACCCGGCCACCACCCGCTTCAATGTCCCGGTGTTCCCGCCGTCATCGGCGCAGCAGCTGCAGCAGCAGCAGCCGAGCCATGGACCAGGGCAGCGGCTGCGGGCAGGTAGCGGTGGTGGTTCTAAGGCTGCATCTGTACCATGGGTGGCACTGATCTCCAAAGAGAACTGTTCGGTGCGGGACAAGATTCTGCGCGCCATGGCGCACAACGCCTCGGCTGTGGTGATTGCCAACGGGCCCGGCACGGGAAACGAGACCACAGCAATGCACCACAAAGGTAGAGTCGGTGCTTCTCTAAATATATCCACAGGCAAGGAAAGGTGGTGGCGGTGGTGAGGATAGTGGCAGATATGGCTTCGGTGAGTCGCTTTACTGTCGTGGATGGGCAGGTATCTGGTGGGCAGATCTCGGTTTGGTGAGCAAGTATGGTTTGGGCAATATGGCATGGGTTGTGTGAGCATTTACACTCGAGTGGGTGGGTAGGTATGGGTTGAGTCACTCAATGGGCAAGTATGGGTGGGGTGGGTGTGTGTTGACTAAACAGGATTGGGTTGAGTAAGAATGTTTGAGGTGTGTGCAGGCATGAATTAGGTGAGCAAGTACTGTACTCAATTCGTTGGATGAGCTGGTTTGGGTTTGGTGAAGTTGCACTGTCGTGGGTGCGCAGGATGGTGACGTTGGAAAATACAGTCAGGTTTGATCGTGATAATTATAAATCCATTTCGTACCACGTGCAAAATTTGTGCAGCCAGTCGCGAAGAAAAGTCAGGGGTGCGCAGGTGAGCTTTGTATACAGGCATGTAATGGGTAGACATTCCTTGGATGGGCGGTGTTAGCAGAGTATGGTATTGGTTGAAACGGTAAGTACGAATTGAATGGGAAGCCAAATATGGGCAAGTATGGATGGGGAGACGATCAGGCTGACACAGTGGGTTAGTAGATGTGGATTGTGTGGATGGTATATGTTCAGTTAGTATGTCTGGGCAGGTTTGGTTTGCTTCGGGATACATGTTAATAAAGGTTAGACGGTTGTCACGATGGTTCAGGGATGGCCTGAGGTTTGTTCTGGGACTGGCATCTCAATTATTTTTACAATTGTAATATAGCAAGAAGGATGTTTTATTTATTTAGTTTTGCCTGTTTATATTTTCATGACCATCCTAAATATGCTGTGCTGGGTAAATAGCCCTTGGGCTCCCAACACTCGTTTTTTGTCTCAGTGCACATGTAGCAGATGCCCATTGATTAGCACCAGCGTCACCACCACCACCGTTATTTCAGACGCATTGCAAGCATTTATTAATATGATTATACATACACTGTTGTTACCGCTCATCGAGTGCCGAGGCTGAACACACGCGCAGCCCAAGTCACGTGAAGGACAGAATAACTTCAGCCCCAGCGCACGTCATAGCTTTTTAGTACTTGCGTCAAAGAACAACCTCATTAGTGAGGTGGTGTGTTTGGGGAATGAGTTTGATGCAACTGGATAGGTTGCTAGAGGCCCAACTGCGTTGTTTTTTCCCCTTCAAAAGTACTGTCTCTCCTACTTGATACTCGGTCAAATTCTAAATGATTCACCAGGTTGTACAGCCTATTTCATTGCCAGGTCTTGTTCATCACAAAGACAGGTTTTGCCTCGAAGCAATGCAAACCTGTTTATTATTTGCCATGCATGTTTGTAATATTGTTATGACTGCAGCACGACTTATACGTATTATTTTAGCCAGTCGGTGTAGTATTAGGAACAAGAGTATCTATCTTGCCAGTGACGTGTGCATTATTTTTGTGCACTCAACTTTTATATCGAAATAAGTAACCATAATTTGTATAAAATCCCCGTTTGTAGTGGAGGCCGTGCCACTACTTTCAACATCCAGCACCAGTTGCACAATGCTGTTGTCAGCTCCACAATCTTACCAAACTCCCTATGACACAATTTAGTTTTGGCAAGAAGCCAAACGTAAAAAATGAGAGAGATATGGGATGCAAGGTACAGCATTGATGCAGTGCCACCTTTTAATTAAAATACGTGTGTGAAAAAATATTATCTGATTTTTATCTACAGGACAGCCAGTCCAGTACATGGGTTGTCTTTTCATTGAAGTCCATTACGATGTTGATATCGAAGGTAATGTATTCTGAGAGTCATAGCTCTATTGATGCTTGTCGCTGGTGGGTGGAGCTTTGCCTTGAAAGGTTTTGGGTTCCTTTCTTGTTATTTTGGTTTCTTAAATCTTTAGAGCCGCGCTGGAAACACCGCAGTTCATTTCAGTGATCTTCAATCTTGGGATTTGGCACCGAGTTGCTGACAGGTTAAATCAAATAAAGCTCGCACGCTTGTCCTGAGACCTTGATGAACATTGGGTAGCGTGACCCACATTCATATCCAGTATTGTAAAATGGGCCATAAATGTTTACATTGTCAAGAACGGAGATCAAAATCATTTTGTTAACGGCAGGATTTTTTTTTCAACAAAAGAAGCCTTTTAAAATAACACTTTTTCGTATGGACAATGTTGCTGTACATGCAGCTGCTGTCCATACGAGTCAGCCATGTGCATGCGATGGTCAATTTGAATTGTAATGGGAAACTCTTCAACTGCACAATTTACTCTTGCTCGTCCAGTCGTGTGCTTTTCTTACCAATGAGTCGGGTTGCAGACATGTTCTTTTCACAAATGCATTGGATACAGCATAAACGTACATTGTTCTCGCATCTGTCCATAGAATACACCAGTCAGCAAATTTGCGTGCCAAAAAATGGGCCTTCAGTTCAACCTCAAACTCTTTCTGCTGTTTGCTTTGGGCATTCCATGCTGTTGGGATGGTAATGATGGACTCTGTTGGTCTCTGGTATATATTATTGATTTTCTGTGGATTGAGGAGTGTATGGAATGCTGCTTAATGTCAAGCCAATTTAGTTTGTTGACTTAAGCATCGTGCTTGTTACAGAATAAATTAATCTTATAGTAAAACAAATTTGGTTAAACGCCGCATTGAGACCAAACATCAAACATGGAGGTGACCAGGTTGCTGACAAATCCGAGCACTGAGCTGGTATTGCTGAGATCCTCGGTTGAAATCCAGACATTTGCCTGTGATTAAACCAGGTTCGCAACTGTAGTGAGGAGGTCATGGTCTCAGCCAGGTTATCAATAATTGCACAAAAACCCCATGGTATGAGCTTTTGTTTTGCACTTAATGTATTGCAAAACTCTAGCCCTGGGATTTCAAAATATCACTTTTACTTGAATGCAATGAACGTTGCTCTCAGTGGCAGAGTGACTGGAAAAGGTGCAGCCCCCGTCTGTGTGGATCCAGATGTGACTTGAAGGGATTTCCGCTTCTGTGCCTTGGGCCAGTCTCAAACGTGAAGGGTTGCAATGCTTTGCAAGGGATCTGAAAATTGAGTCTTCATCTCTTGACATGATGTTCATAGCACAATCTCCTGAGATAAACTTGGAGGGGAGGGGGAACACAAAAACACAATAAAAAATAGATCACCAAGCTTGGCCAACACGACTGAGCATGGCCCCATCATTGTAGGGAAAAATATTTTAAAAAACAAATGCCATGTAAATTTAAAAATGTATGTTCGTTGGTTGAACACTGACTCGCAGTTGATTGGAACGTACGTGAAAAGTACCCCCAGCTGCGAGTGTTTTAAGAAGAATTACAAAAAAATCCAGCAAGTGATTTAGCATACTTTCAGATTTCTCTCTCACTCAACAAGCTCGCCGATTTCAAAGTGCATCGACCACATGGCTACAACATGGCCTTGCCGTTGGGTACGCATGGCATGCTTCCATGTGTTTATACCCAGTGCAGTTCTTGCATGCAAACGTGTGCAAGGTAACAATTGCTTTACACGGAGTGTGATGTAAAAGAAGGATTTCTTTAGCTTTAAGCAGGCATGTGGCACCAACCTTAGACTGATTGGTGCGGTATTTGTAATTAACCATTTAAAAAACAAATATGAGTGATGCCTCTCAGCCAGATGTATGCTATCTTTTGTTTAAATGTAATTTTTCTGTACATGATAAGAAACCCATGGGATGTGTTTGCCAGTATAAATATATGAAAAATAAGAATAGGTTTTACCCTTTCTGCCAGTAGAACGTGTGTTAAGATTTTGCAATACCAAATGGATACCTTTTGCAAGGAATCAAGACTGCATAAACCACACGTACTTGGGGGGGTGAACATGCAAACAAACATGCTCTGATAATATCAGCATTGTCTTTGAAACTTTTTGGCCTACACCAGAAACAGCCGTCTTTCTGGCCTAATCTCACCAGTGTCAGACCAGAGAACGCCAAAAGACGGACAGTTTGGTGTTTGAACATCTTAACATCTGTTTATTGCCATGAAGGCTAAAACATATTCTTATTTTTCACTAACAAGAGACCCATCAGGTCTCAAACAAGGCTGTGTGCATTATACACGAAGTATGGCGATACCACGTGACGAACCGATTTAATGGTCACAATCACTCCTTTTGATGACTTTTGTGTAAACAGAATTCTTACTCTAATGTTTTGCATTCCGGTGACTGCAGTGTGCTCCCTTCTTTCCTACGGCATCGGCAGCAGCAGCAGCAATAATTCTGTGTTGTGGCTCAAATGCCGTTAGATGGCTTGGGGTGTTGCAGAATGAATTTTGGCTGCACAGGCGTCCAGTGGGCGATTGTTCACGGTGTGGGTTGACAGTCTGGACCTCACCGCAGTCACAGTTAAGGGAATCTCTCGTTTGAATTTTTTTAATGAAGGATGTAACCATCATATTTGTTCGTGTATATGCAGTGCATAAAAGGATAAAGTGTGCAGGCTTGCGATGTTCTTGCTCAGGAGGGTATCTGGCCCTACCCTTTCGTGCCAGCCAGACGTCTTGGAAGAGCTGGGAGTAGCCACACTTTACCCCACCACTCACGACCTGCCGATCAACCGAGGTGTTGTAGTCATTGACAGCTTACTGTTGGGTGGACAATGACGGGGGAGTTTTAATAAACGTGCCAATTGTATCTAACATACATTTACGTACGTGTTTGCAAATGCTCGCTTTGTGTGGCTCGGCAAAGATTTCTTCACATGTCAGTGAAACGCATTCTCAAGCATCTTTCGTTTTATTGACCTGTTCAATTCTGACTGCAAGTCCTCACCTTTAGAGTTTAAAAGTGTCCACACACAACCATCGCTGTGGCCAAAACACCCTTCTGCAGGCTGGCTCTTTTAATTAACAGAAATTATGTATACTACCAAAATTTTCACTGTAAAATCTGTCTGTAGTCATCCCATGGCAGAACTGAGATGGGGCTCTCCGCTGCGTACTGTGTCATTCCACGTACTGTATCATTCCACGTACGGTATAATTCCACGTACTGTATCTAACCGCTCAGCCGCACAGCTCAAGTAAGTAAATCGTTGACCGCTCAAACCGCATTATAGCGGTGCATTCCACGTTATAAGGGGCGCGTTCCGTGTTGTACAAAAAGTGTTCCCACATAGACGAGAACGCGTTAAGCGAGGACTTGCAGTGCTTGCACTGTGCGGCTGAGTGGTATGATAGACTACACGGCATGACAGTACTCGGCGGCGTACTCTCATCCGAGTTCTTTGTCTCGCCATCTTACCGTACCTGCGTACAGGAATACCTCGCACTTGCGTCTGGTTAGGGACCAGAGCATGACGAATGTAAAAAATGGACGTATGTCAAAGCAGAGCCTTTATTTAGCTTGCAAATTTATTTTGGCCGGTGAAAAAAACGTACTTGCAAATGACTACAGTAAATATAAAAACGTACATGCAAATGGGTTATTTTAGCTTTACTATCCACACACTTCGGACCCATTATTAATATATTAAAGCACGAACATAACTATTTTACAGTAATTACAAAAATAAGCACAGTATGAATACTGTACACGTGTTTTATAATCAATAAAATAACAATGAACACTGTAGTATTAAACTGTTAGCACAAAAATAACTATGACTTGCTTACAGGATAAGCAAAGAAATAAGTTCAGTATTAATAATATATGAATAAACACAAATGTAATAGATGCTCTCTGAACGACTTCTATTCAAAGACGGCGCGTGGCGCGAACGTCGTGGAAGGTTTGCGGATGAAATCAGACGGCAGAGGAAAGTGCGTGGACGAAATTTTAAATGTGGTTAGAATTGAAAACGGACGAAATAGCGAAGTGACGAACGTCAAGTGGACGCAAGTCAAGGTATCCCTGTACATCGTATCTTGCCTTCTTATGGAAAAATAATTTTCGCTGAGAGCAGCACTTCAGGAACGCGTGTACCACGTTCAACGAGGAATTACTCTACGTATTTTATTTACAGCACAAGAGATGTGAAGATACATGCCGCTGTGCCTGGTCTCAAGTGGTGAAAGCGGAGCCGTGTTTTATTACATGGTGACACCACGACAGGACGCTGGTGGTGTGATATTGTTTGTACTTCTTACCGTTGACAAGTCATGCTTTGCATGTTTCCCCATCCTGCCGGGGTGAGTAAGATAATTTTCGTGTGACCCCCAAAGGTCATCCTTAGGGAGACGCTCGCTCCAATTTACAATAATCTCGTACAGGTGCAGGTATTTGAAGATAAAACAGGTGATTTTGCCCTCAGCATTACCAAGATTTCAAATGGGCACTTCTGGTGGCAGTCATCTCATCACCGTGGCCATAACATTTAAAGTATAGAGTGAATAACATGTCTTACTTTGCTTTTCAGTCTAGCACTTTCGTGCACTCAATGTCAAGTACAGAAAGAAGACAGGAGCTCTGAAAATAATCCCAAAGTCAAAATGATGTGACCTTTCTGTGCACTCATGCTCAACACATTTCACAACCCATCACACTGTGCAAAACATCAGTGACTATGCAGGTTTTCCACAAAAGCATCGATATGGTGGGTGGAGGTGGGCTGCTCAAACCAGCAACTATCCGCCAGATTGGCCGTGCCACCAACAACACATCCCTCCTCGTTTCGTCTGCAGACACGGGCGAAATCGTGGTCATCATGGTCACGGAACTCAAGGGGAGAGAGATGATGTCTCTGCTTGAGCGGAACATCACGGTCATGGTGCACGTCACGGTGGGCACGCGCAACGTGCAGAAGTTCGTCAGCCGGACGTCGGTGGTGTTCGTCTCCATCTCGTTCATCGTGCTCATGATCATCTCGTTGGCGTGGCTCGTCTTCTACTATGTCCAGAGGCTACGCTATGCCAGCGCACGCGACCGCCACCAGGTGCGCTCCAACTTCCCTCTCGATGCGACACGCAACACGGTTTGGCGACACGCGATTTAAACTAAAATTAAACAATTTTTTGTATTTTACCAGGCAAGGCTCAACTGAGCTCTATAGCTCTTTTTCGGAAGCGACCTGGTTATTGCAAATGATAGCTCGAAGAAGTGGCTTATCGTATGGAAATTTAAAGGAACACATTCGCTCCAAATGCCGGAGCGGGCGGGGCAAAAATTATTTTAGTTTTCCTCGAGTCTGCAGACCATTTGCATTGTTTTGCGATATATTTTTTAAACCGGTTTGGGTTCAAAGGAAGCCTGCACTGGCTGGGCTTGTCTCATTAGACGCTACAGAATTGTTCCGCTTGCCAGATTTCCAAGCGCGCGTGTTTATTTTGTTGGCTGCTGCTCGTGAATGGTTTCTTCATTCATGGAATGGGCACGGATATAAGGGGGAGGGGGGGGGGCGTCGACAAAAACACCGCGACAGATTTGACTGCGGCGGCGACCACCCCTTTGCTAAAAGCGTCACGGTCGAGGTTTGCGTCACATTTCGAAGACTATTTTTGCCGCACCAGAAATAAATGTTTTTTTTTAAATAGCCGAACACGTCTTTGTTTCATGGCCTACTCGTACATTTGTGTGTAATTACCCTTCCATTCGAAGCCTACTGTTGTAAAGTTGGAATGAGAATATTTTTAGTAGTCTGGAGTTTCTTAAGAGCTTGAAATTTCACACAAAACTGAAATCTCCCCCCAAAAATGAAACACCTGGGTGTTAATATTCTGGTGGTGCAGTGTACGCACAGTGCTGTGTATACAGACAGATGCATATATTTATTTATATGTGGTACCCGACGTGTAATCCCTGGTACTTACAATAGGCAGCTTATGCGAATCTCGCTGAGCAGGCCACGTTGAATCTCGGGGAACAGGAGTTTCTCAACGGGTCATAAATAGTGACATCAATGGCGGCTCCTATGCCACTCGAATGTGTAGCGTTGTGTCTGCAGGCAGAATTTTTATCCTGATAATTGATCATTGTTTTTTTACCCTTTTATCTGGCAACAAAACTGGCACTTTTTTTTACAAGGAGTCATGTTTGCATTGACCACAATACCTGCAGTCATAATGCAAACAAAAAACACAACTCTGATAATGTATGCAACTGTCCTTGAAGTTGATTGGTCCACACCCGAGACAGCTTTCCTTAGAGCCTAGTCTTACATGGTGTTGGACCAGATGATGCCAAAAGGCGTCACTTCAAGGACAGTGCATACATTATCAGAGTTATGTTTTTTGTTTGCATTACGACTGCAGGTATTGTGGTCTATGCAAACATGACTCCTTGTAAAAAAAGGTGTCAGTTTTGTTGCCAGATAAAAGGGTAAAAAACCAATTATCATATTTTTCTACTGGCAAATGAGGTTCCAATGGTGTAAATTTGTATCCTCTTGCGATCTCAGACTGTGCCAGCGTGTGGGTCGAGATATGCCTCAAAGGACCGCATTTGTCTGTGCGTCGCAGAATTAGGGGCGCGTTGGACACAGGCCGTCTCTAGCCAACAGTCTGGCCCTTTGGGTTACAGTTAACTGTGGCGGGTATGCAGGGGAGCATATATTAATGGCTGAAGCGCCAAATTGATTATTAAACACGGCAAGTTTGTGCGTTTTTTCTCTCGCTACTAACGGATGGACATCCAAAAAAAAAACCTGAATTGAAAACGCACAGCAACAGTGCGCATTTGCTACGTGGAAGTGTTTAATCTGTGGGTGTTTCGTTTGTTCACAAGTCCGGTGAGTGTTTTTTGTCTGTTTAACATGTGTGTTGTGTCCATGCAATTGTACAGAGGAGACTGGGAGATGCTGCCAAGAAGGCAATGACTAAACTTCCACTGAAAACCATCAAGAAAGGGGATCAGGCAAGCATTCAGCAACAGATTTCGTGTTGTACCATAAGTGCATGCAAAAATCAATACAGGGTGCTTCAAAAAATTGTTAACGCTTACATGGGAAAACCGGATAACACGCCGTACATGATAACAAATGTATGTTCATAGCTTCAAAAAGTAAGAGTCTCCACTTGATCGCCATCATTGTCAACACATGCCTGGAATCTTCTCCAAGTGTTCTCCAGAACCGAGGCACATTTCTTGCGGTATTGTTGCCAATTCTTCGATGTGTTAACATTTTTTTGAAGCGCCCTGTATATAATTCAGCACGTCTAATTTATAAATCGCAAAGCATGCTTGTATAATGTACTACTGGGCCCAAAGAGGCATTTAGCCATTAAAACACTGATATGTTGTGTACAATCAACATCACTTAATAAGATATCCAAATGCATGAGTTGTACATTTCCAGCAACATAATATTAAAGCAGTCTTTGTTAGTGTTCAGTGTGTTTAAAGATGACTTTTTTTCATTAGCCTACCACTGCTGCTGCTGTTTTTTATTCATAACTCCCCTGCCATTAAAATCGGCAAGCCAAGGGGACCTGCCCCAGCGGGTACGGTCCTAGTGAAATGTCTGGAAACACAACTCTGTGTCTTAACAATTTGACTGGTATTAACCGTGTTGGAGAAAAAAAAACACTCAAGTCTGCTGAAATGACATTTGTAGGATGAGCCGCTATTAATCTGTGCGCGTCAAGAATGACGTCCTCGTACGCAGCAATCAAACTGACAGCCGCTGACTAATCCTTTATCCTTCGAAGCAATGGCCTTTGTGGCCTTTTCACATGTAGCATGTCCAAAATATTTTAGTTATTTTTATTTTGTCTCCCCCTGATTTCCTCGAAACTGCCTGTAGGAAACGGAACCTGACTTCGACAACTGTGCAGTTTGCATTGAAGGTTACAAGCCCAGTGATGTAGTACGGATATTACCTTGCAAGTAAGTTTACACACGGACTCCATACAATCGGGTACCCCAGTGTTTCCTGGAAAATATTCATAATGCTCCAATCGTGGCCTCATTTCTATTTATAAACATGTTTAAAATAATGGATAGTTTTGTTCTGGGCCACGGCTAGCATCAGTGACGAGTTTGTATATCTGGATTAGTCCTGGGCCCTCCACTTCACCAACCTTGACTGACCGGCCTGGTGAAATATGGTCAAGCAACTGCCTTCACTAATAGAGCATGGGGAGTAGGCCAATGATTGGTAAATTGTTGTAATGATTTCCTTGGTAATGTGTGCAGTTTTCATCTGTTACTTTATCTCAAGCCCAAACGCACGCACTGTGGCGTACTATGTTCATTAATAGAATATGCACTCAAAAAAATAATATTCCTATAGATATGTGCCAAATTTCTATGTTCCAGGCAGCGTGTATCAGCCTGTTTGAAGTTTTGCTAATGAGAAGATGTCACATTCAAGCATGTCATTGACACTGGTGACTTCACACCAATACGTTTTAGTACGTCAATGCAATGATGTCTCCAGAGCACCACAAACTCAGCAGCTGACCTTGGTTTTAAAGTTTTTTCTCATTAACAAAGTATTACTCTCATGTCGGTGCCTGGAGCAAACATCCTTCGTGCGAATCTACCAAGAGATATTTTTGAGGTTGCGTCTTCTTTGAATACTGAACAAAATCTAATTATATTATGAACCCGGTAAGATAAAAAGGTACACAGAATGGATAAGTGGTGCAATAATTTTCCACCCAGTGGTAAGCGCACAGTGCGATGAACTGCTAACATCTGTGGCGAGTGATATCTGAACCGCTCCCATAGCCGACCCTTCACAAAGCCGCACTGACCAGAGTGGTGAAGTATGGTCAAACAACACCCCTATCACCAAAAGGCCTGGGGAGGTCTTCAGTGATGTCTAAACCAGTTCCGGGTCCCCGCTGCGACCCTAACCCGCACTGACCAGCGTCGCCCAGTGTGATCAAATAAAACCGCACAACCAACGTGGCATGGGGGAATGCCTTCATCCACAAGTTGATTGATGGAAATCTGCAAATGATTTTGTTTAAAGCTGGATGCCACCAACCTCTCGACTCCCCCACACCCGCCTCCCTTCCACATGTGCCTCACTGCTATAGACACCTGTTCCACAAAGCGTGCGTGGACCCCTGGCTGCTGGACCATCGCACGTGCCCCATGTGCAAACTCAACATCCTCAAGGCTCTGGGCTTCCCCGTGAGTGCCTGTCCCCCTTTGACCACCGACATTCGCAGCATTGATAATGAGTCGAGTGTCTCGGCTCAAATAAGCAAGGAGCTCGCCAAATCATTCTGTTAAATTAACAAGAGACCCTGGCCAGAATTCCACATCCGTGTCTGTGTGTGTAGCACTACGATTGTTGACTTGCCACAAAGTGGTGCTCGTACCTACTATAATCACCCAGGAATGTCCTTAACGCTCGTGACGTCACTCCACATCGACCAGTCCCCTTCATTAATATTCATGAGCAGGTGACATCCTCCAAATAGACACCCCCCCACCCCTCATTAATAACATGAGTGGGTGACGTCACTCAACATGGAGCACCCTCCCCCCTCATTAATTATGCGCAAGTGACGTCACTCCACATCGAACAGCCCCTCTCATTAATAATGAGCAGGTGACGTCCTCCAAATGGACACCCCCTCCATTCATTATTATTAGAAGGTGACGTCACTCCACATGTGGAGCAGAGGCGCCTCCTCCCCCCCCCCCCTCGGCATCAACTTACAACCCTCACGACAAAGGCAGAACCCTCACGTCACGCGATCTCCGCAAAGCTATTGAGATATCAAAGTAAAAAGGACGTCATGATGAACAAGGGATTATCACCTTTAAATGAAATAGGTCTGTCACCGTGCTCTTACAAACTGCACACGCATTGATGCAATGAATATCACATCGCGGTCTGCTTTTCGTCTGCAAGTTTCAAATTTACTGCAATACACCCGTCCTTGGACGGGCAAAAGGCTAATTTAATATAATCATTGATAGGAGTGTAGTATATTGTCATAAATGGGTGTGGGGGAAAACCGCTGTTGCATCATGATCAGTGCACTGCGCTATGAACCCAACGACCTGACTTCAGTTCCCCGATGCAACCCACATTGACCAGCGTGGTGATGCATGGTCACGCAACATTCCGCAACCCAAAGGCACTTGGAGGCCTTCATCCGGCAGTGGATTGACAAACGGCTAAATGTTATTATTGAAGTTGAACAATGCATTCCTCGATTCATATCAGAATCTGAATATTTATTTATAGTGAAGGAATCCAATGAGCGACAAGGTTCTTTTTCACAGATGTCCATATCAATGAATGGATCGCCATGGCATGTGAGAATTTGATCCGTGTATGTTGTAATTTATGTTGACATAGGAAACCCACGCTGAGTTTCCAGATTATTTAAGTAGGCTTCCGCGTTCATGATGTTTGGTAATTAAAATTCTAGTATTCTGTTGGTTTTTCCAAACACATGCTGCATTTTAAATAACGGAAAATATACGCTCCATTGCAAATACCATCAAACTTGATCCAAGTTGGAATGGAATCAGCTGGAGGTAAATTGGTTTCAAAATATTACGTTAAACATATCACGAATAAATTACTTAGATGAGCATCAAGGCATGCAACACCAGTTGGCTTAAATTTCGAGCTCAACAGACGACTCCATGCTGCCGGTCAACTGACCACCAGTTTCTGCTCTGCTTGCAAATTTGCCAGACACCTCTGTGTCCCATATTATCCCCCATGGAAAACAACACTCCACCCTGTATCAGTTGACTCCTTATGAATAAATGATTCATTCATTCACCCGCTCATGAAAAGAAAAAAATTACCTTAACAACCGCCCCCCCCCCCCCCTCTGCTTCACAGACGAGTCCTGAGCCGGGCGAGGAGCTCCCTCCGCCGGCAGTGGGTGTGTCAGCCATGGCGGCGCTGGCAAATCGCAACGCGCACGAGGGCGGGGCGGCCGGTGGCGGGGCGATGGTGGGCATCGGCAGGGTGCACGGTGGTTACGTCGGCCGAGGGATCGGCGGCGGAGGAAGTGGCGCCGGCTCGGGCAGCGACAGCAGCCTCAACCTGGAGCCGCCGCAATACGAAGAGGTGGTGCAGGTGGCACACGTGGAACCCACGACGCCCTCCACGCCGCACAGCGACGCCGACATCGACTTCCATGGCGAGTAGTTCACGACATGGTTGTTGTCCGTTGGCCTCGTGTCGTCATCGATTACGTGCGTTCTGTGGCGTCCTTCGGGCAGATAGCGTCTCCCGTAAACCGCAGCACCTCTCGGGTGTCCATCTGAACACCCCACGTGCTATGGTACGGTACTCTGCTTTACAATAGCCTTGACTGAATCAACTGTGCCATGTCCTGCGGCAAAAATATTCTATCGTGGTGAAAGCGAATCAAAATATTTTGGCTTGTGATATCATGTGATGGCTTTACATGGTGTTACGTAATTTCTATTCCACTGTGCTTACTTATATTATGTACGCCTGCAGTGCCAGAGGATATAAATAACATTAATTTATGGTTGTCGGTACAGAGGCCAGTTTCCCTGTAGGAAACATTGGTTCTCTTGATGTTACAGTGAGGAAGATCTTATTTTCAATGTAAAGACATGTTATATGCGTGAAAAGCAGTGCATGACCAAACAAAGCACAAGTAGAGTTCATCGGTCGTACAAACCCCTCACACGCTGCTCTTGCAGCAATTTGTAATGATTTTTAACAATCATAACTTGTGTGATTGGTGATAAATGACATCTAACTGGCGCTATTTGCTTTTCTCCATTCGACAAATTTTTCATTTAGACTTTTTTAAATTTTACTAGGTAAGGCCCACTGAGCTATATAGCTCTTTTTCATATGTGACCTGGCCACAAATAACAGCTCAACGAAGTGGCTTATCATGTGGACATTTATAGCAGCCAAATACTCTAAACGCGTGTTTCTAAATGTGGAGGGAAAAACTGGAGGACCCAGAGAAAAATCCACGTGACCAGGGAGAGAACATGTAGACTCCAAATATACAGGTCTCAGGGTTGGTATCAAACCCCCCTCTGGCATATCAGGCAAGGGAGTTAACGTGTCGCCACCACGTTACCACCATTCAATTAATTCTAGATTTGAAGCTTTTGTAACTGCAAGGATTCATATTCTTAGGTTTTTTTCGGTAAAGTCACGTAGGTAAAAAATTAAAATTAATAAAAGTAAAATTAAATAAAAAATCACGACGTTTCGGAGGCAACACAAGCTTCCGTCTTCAGGTGGAACCGTCACAGCCACGACAGCTGTATCAAGTAAATGAGAGATTACAAGAGCTACCACTCCGTATATATAATGCCGTACTTGGCCCTTCCCCTCTTCAACCATTATATATACAGAGTGGTAGCTCTTGTAATCTCTCATTTACTTGATACAGCTGTCGTGGCTGTGACGGTTCCACCTGAAGACGGAAGCTTGTGTTGCCTCCGAAACGTTGTGATTTTTTTTATTTTACTTTCATTAATTTTAATTTTTTACCTACGTGACTTTACCGAAAAAAACATTCAATTAACCGTGGATTTCCATTTGCGAACAGCATTGTTGAAACCTTGTGATCCACAGACGACGAAGAACGCCTGGTGAGAGACCGGAGCTCCTCTCAGCCCATCACGGTGGAGATCAGACTGTCTGACATCGACCTCGCTGACCAAAGCCCTCGCGGGCAAGAAATTCTCTCGTGACCGCGACGTCGTGCGAGATTTGGGAGCACTGGGTTCCACTTTTCTTTTTGGGTTGTGGTTTTGTTTCGGTTTATTTTTTTATTTTGATGGCAAAATGTTAGCACAAGATGGCTGCCACATCTTGATTGTACAAAAAATCCCAGCTGAGGCCGTTTACATGCCTGAAAATCGCGCCTCTGAAATTGTGAACAGCTTCTTTGCTTGTAGAGAGCTACGTATGACTTGTAAATGTAAATTATTGCCGTCGAAATTACGTTGCTGTTTTATAACTGTGGTACACATGCCGTAGTTAATGTGCTGAGCCAACAGGTCTATGATTCATGCTTAAATATTGCTGTTACCTAGAGATGTTATTGTTTCTATGGTTATTGAGGTTTGGAGGTTTAAAAGTTTTATTTTATGTGCATTAAACACTTTATTTGGATGGGTAATGCTAAGCTTGTCTCCAGCCAAAAAATCTCTACTTCTTTGTGAAATATTTGACTGTGAGTGCATTTACACAACTTTTGTTACATTTTATTGGGAATCTAAATAAAATGTTTATGCCCGACCCTTGCCGCTGTCATCACTGTTAAGTATGCTGAGCTTGCACGGTATAATGTAAGAGAACACGCAGAACAAAATGTACAAATTTAGTTATTTTCATTTCACTGAGTCAGGTAAAGGCCACTTGTGCAAACATTTATCAGTGGCATTGCCCCAGAATACAGTAAAAAAATCGCGCGCAAAGGTACAATGCTCATTAACCACATACATTTTTTATGAAAAGCAGGCTTATTTTTTTAAACACTCGTAAACAATTTTTCTTTGTACTTGCTAAAATAAACAGATTCCCAAGACACTGCTTTGGGTTGTTGGACTAATTCTTGAACTGTTGTAGCTCAGGCAAGGCTTTTGGGGCTGCCAGGATAACCCCCCCCCTCACACACACACACACTTGCAAGGGGATATCACTCAAAACTACGGGGAGAGGTCAGTAAGACTTGTATTTGTAAATTGAGAACACTTATTTAATTGTGGTCTACCTACATGCCATGTTGTGTACTAATGACCAGACAAATGTTTTTCTTTTACAATAAACACTATAATTATAAAATGTTAGATGTTGTTCAATAGTTTGTATGCAAATTTGAAAAACTATTTAGTGCAACAATTATCTTAAAATGGCCTCCGTATACTCTACAGATTTAAAACATCTCTAGAAAAAATACCTCGTATGAACATCTTATCCAGATTTTTAAAAATATATACTATGCATTTAAGAATGTGTTTAATGTAAATTAATACCATTTATTTTACATTATCATTTACATAACTGTCCTGTAATACTGTCCTGAAATAACCTTAGCCCCTGCAGTCATAATTATATACACGTTACAAAAAGTATAAAAATAGATACCAAAAATTGAGACCAACTTTCCCTTTACCAAAAAAGCATGAAAATAGCTTTTTTTTGTTAAACATTTGCGTTACAAGTACATTACAGTCCGTGACACATCGTCATTGGGTAGATTTAAAAGTAATGTCTTCCGGATATAAATTAAGGAACCATTACACAAATTGTTATTAAATTTGAATAGCCTGATTTATGAGCTTGGTGTATGGTTGACGTAGTAGTTCATTACGAGCCTCTTTTTCCTTTCAATATTTTTTCTTTGCAGGACAAAAAAACTATTATGAAATAACACCAGCAAAGTGAATACCAATGATGCCAGTGCGCTCAAAGAGCGTCGCGCTACATGCCATCAAACCTCTCGCGCGCGTGGCAAATGAACCTTGACCAGTCCCGCATGAGGCTCTGAAAACCTGCCGAGAGAGAGAGAGGTCACGCTGGCAACAATTCAACACTGGATACTTTATTAGGCATGGAACGATTCACCACAAGCCCGCACCATATCACCACTTTGATTCACTGCATTCAAATCAAGAATGTATTCTACCTTCAAACGAATGCGTTCTCTTTGCTTTGTCCCATATAGATTGTCTCGTTTGTATCGTGCTCCCATGTTTTGTCTTGCTATCCTTATCATAAAGGACTGTTAGCATGCGATTTGCATGCGTTTATAAATGATGTATCGTTAAAACACTTCTATTCATGTATCACACGAGCATAAGTCAATTTTAATCATTTATTACATGCCTGCAATTATTTTTCACTGGTAAACAGCTCAAACATTTCAGGTGCAACATTAACTAAAATAACAAAGGAAATGTTCCACTATCATTTTCAATTTTAACATCCATGGACCCAGCTTAAAAATTGAGTGCCAATGAAGTCAACCATTTATAATAGTGAATAGGCATGTGCCATCAGTCGCTATCAGCCTTGATCAATCGACTGCCATATTAAGGTCTCCCAAAGTATAATAACTTCTTCATTTGTTGCCAAAACGCCTCCCGAGTATTTTTTCAGAAGGGTCTTTCTTTTCACAACGTGTGGCTTTGCATATAAAGTGTCCGAAGGTGACCAGAATGCCCAAAGAGAATTCGCTGATACGAGAGGAGAAACATTCAACATCTGCACACAGGTCAAAAAAACTACTTGCTGTACAAGTCTTCCACTGGCAGCCAAGTCATCCCCTTGGGGGTCCCGGTCAACAGCAAAATATATGAACGTGGCGGCTTGTGAAGCAAACTAAAATGCTTTACCGTTGACTGTATTACGCAAGCACTTCAAAGGGTCCAGTCAGTGTATTGCAACCACCTGCCTTCTGCTGGTACAGAGCTCTGCTTTAAGCTTCAATAGCACAGCCGTGCGATCAAACCACAACTCATGACATCACTTCAATTGTCGCTTTCTCCCTCTTTTCAAGCAAGTGCCAAAACGACACTTGACACAGAGGATCCTATACCACCGCTGACCATTCGTTCATTTGGTAAGTACGGTAGTTGACATTCCGAATAGCGAGTGGTTAAGTTCAGCTCAAGGTCTGAGATCAAACAAAAGACCGTAGTGGATAAATAATAAGGGGATTTAGTATACAAGTGTTCAAAAAAATGCCAGGCCTCGCAACCCTCACAGGCAAGCCTTTCCCCATTTTACCAATATATTCCACTGATATGCAATTTAAATTAACCCGTCACACATTGCACACACCCAATGACTTGTAATCATGAAAAGCTGCACCATGGGAGGGGTACCAAGCAATGAAGCTTGGGGAAATGCTCGTTTGGAGCTGTGGTGCGCACAAACACGTGGTTCCGTAGCTCTGCCACATTGGAGAGGACAATGTGGTGACCAGCTTATGGGCTTCAATAGTTTTACCCACAACCCTTTGTCAATCCAGGACTGAATGGAGTCTGCACCCCACACACATCATTATTGGTCATGAGGGTTCCTGGACCGGTGCGGGTAGGAGAAGTTGAGCATAGATATGGGAACGTTAAAGTACAGTGCAATAATGGATTTTGCTTCCTTGCGCTCTGATGACCACCCCCCATTAGCACGGCAGCCGCAACCAACAAAAACCTGGCAGCAACGGTGGTCGCTGACGGATGCACTATCCAGGCTCAACCCCAAACCTGCCGAGCTTTCCAGATCCGATGAGATCGGGAGCATTCTCGGCGATTTAATCACAGGGCGTCGTTATTTCACGCAGGAATAAAAAGGTCCGCGACAGGCCTTCTTCGCATTGTGGCCAAAAAGAATCGACGAATGAGGGGGACGCGTCCCACCTGTACTTGTTTTTCCGCAAGTAGTCGAGCACGGCTGGCTTGAGCCGGGACACTCCTCCCCGGCTGTTGTTCCCTTGGCCCGTGATGACTGACAGAACGCTTGACTTTCCCTGGGCCTGGCACTCTGCCACGTGCGTGCATGGGTCAGGGCGACAAATAATAAAATACACGTTAACCAATGTCAACAAACCTGACCTTGTGTTCAGCAGCAGCCACTCGCAGAATTCGCATGCCTGGCATGAATCCTATTGCAGCCCACAATTCCAATAGTGAATCAATTTGTATCTCAACTATTCCATGTGGCTGCACTGTTTATAAACATCAGTGGCTCAATGTTGCAATGGACCTCAGTTTTGCACAGGACACCATTTTGCTTTGATAAAACATTTAAATAAGCTGTGATACCTTAATAATGCATTTGGTCATGAAAGTACGTTTTGTGCTCATAATTGGCTTTGCAGAGTTGAATACTCATGGCAATTCTGAAATGACAGTCAGTTTAATTGCAACAAAAGTCAACGATAATTTGACTGCTGCAACAGTGTTTGAGTGTGGCGATCATAATAATGTTTAGAACCCTAAATTAAGATTCGGCACAACATTCCTGCAAGTTATGCAACTTGACAAGTCTTTTCTGGATGACATACATTTTTTTATACAATAGCCTGCAAAAAGATAAAATGATCAGTCTACGGTCCAAACATCCCAGGCTATGTCCTAATGGTAAGTTCCAGTTTGTTAATAATAACAAATGCAAATTGCACATTTCAGGAAAAGTACATGCGGTGGCAGAGTTGAAGAGTTAAAAAAAAACAAGTGGTTCGCATTCATGAAGCAAAAAGTAATGCGATATGAATGACATGGTCAGTATAATTTGAATGGGTCCATGATGATGGTCATGGAGAAATGGAATGCATTAGCTCTGAACTGAGAATGATGGATGACCATAGAAAGACCCGCAGCTATAGCTGCAGTTTATCGTACACCCACATTGAGCATATTTATATACAATAAACCCACTTGTTTCTGTAGCCACTTATGCATGCAAATAGTAAACAAACGACCAAACAACCACATCCAGAAAACCAGTCGTTCTGTACCGTCTTCCGGCAACACATAACAGTTCTAGATTTGAAGCTTTCGTGACTGCAAGGATTCATACTCTTAGTTTATTCGGTAAAGTCACATAGGTAAAAAAATGAAATTAAAATTTATAAAAATCAAATAATAAAAATCACGACGTTTCGGAGGCAACACATGTCTCCGTCATCAGGTGGGACCGTCGCAGCCAGATTTGCTGCATCAAGTGAGGCAGGGATTCCAAGATGCAAGTTCTTAAATACAAGTTAAGGGGGATTGGGGGGGGGGAGCTTATCAGAATGTGGTAGCCAATGAATGGAACGTATTGGGAGGGGGGAGGGGGGGGCTAAAAGAGAGCACGAGGTGTAAGTAGACGTCGACGAGGACGTGTTTGTGCGCAAGCCCCTGTTGGTACACATGATAACGTAACAGCTTTGAAAAACTTCCAAGAACAATCACCCACTTATATTCACAATCGCTGCGCCGCAAATACGGTGGGGCATGCGTGACAGGCACGTGGAAGCACGCGGGCGCGCGCTTACCTCTCTGTCGCTGCTCGAGGATGTCAGCCAGGGCGGCCGTGGCCTCGCCCACGTGAAGTCCATGCAGGTCAAGGATGCTGTGCGGGAGCAGCGCCACGTTCCGCTGCTGCAGGATGGCATGTGCCGCAAGCGCGTTCGACTCCTTCATCTTCTCACCGTGCAGGTGGCCCTGGGGTGGCACACGTTCAACCACAGGCGGGATTGTCTCTCGATGCCAATGTCGCCCGGAAGCCTCGGTAAGTGATAAATGTAATCTGTCAAGGCTATACATCTCACATTATCTGGGCTATATTCTCTTCTGCATGACATTTTCCTTATTGTGGGGAAAAATTTGGTCCTCTTAGTCCACTTATTCCAGTTTCTGCCACCTCCACACCCATGCCACATCCCTTCATATCTTGGTTTACCATTTCAAATCACCTCTTTCTATACCTGCCTCTCGGTCTCCCCCCTGGCGTTTCCACATTCCCACATTTCTTCTGCAGTGGTTTGAGATACTTAATTTCCGTGTAAACATTTAGTAAATCGGTTAGTTTCACTTACAGAGGTCTTCATTTCTAAGTGAATGTATCTCATCTGATGATAAATATATTGATACTTATCATTATTGCTTTATTGACACTTCTTTATATGCATACGAGTTAAACTAATAGGAAAACATAGTACTACTTCAGTGTACTGAATGTCAATTTCAGCATCTTCAGTCACAAAGCGTAGACTTATTTCTGGAAGAAAAAAAAAAACCTCATTCATGTAACTGTAATAGATTTGCACGTTTCAGATCAATCAACACAAGGCAGATAATGCGTGGAGAACAAAAGCCACGCACATGACCACCCACTCTCAACAACGACAGTACCCGGGGTTTATTTTCGGTCATGTGGAGAGTTACGCGCACGCTGGAAATTCCCGCACCAGGCTCAGCGTGGCCGCAATTCCCGGGCCAAGCGAACGCACCTGGCGCGCGTAGTGCATGGCAACGTCGCGCATTCCCCGGTGGCACGCCTCGGCCGCCCGCTGGAAGCACTCTCTCCGCCGCTGGTGGTGCGCGAAGGCTTCTGCGCGGAAGTCGGCGTAGTCCGGCGCTTCCGTGTCCTGGAAGGCGGCGTCATCGCTGTCTTGCCCTCGGGGCCCTGCGACGGACTGCGAGGATGAAGAGGTGGCAGGAATACCGGCGCCGCCGGTACCGTGTAGCGCGTGCTCCTGCAGGCTTAGCCGTAGCGCCGTCCGTAGTTCCTGCCGCTCGTTCTCGCTATACACGTCGGAGGCCACCACCGTGCGGGCTGGGCTGGTGCCAGTGGCCAGAACGGAGCTCAGGAACTGCTGCGTGCTATCCAGGGAGTAACTGTGAAAGTGAGAACGCAATCAGCCGACTGTGATGTTCCCATGCAATGGATTTCCCAACCGGTGGAAAATAAAAGATGTGCAAGCTCAGATCTAAAGTGAATCTCAAGCTAGCCCAGCGTGGTAGCATACACCTGTAATCTTGCACTTTCGACGTGAGGGTTAGTAGATCACGAACATTTGTGAAACTACAAAGCCCACAGGACTGTGTGGTGGACACGATATCACAGTGCAGCAAGAGGGTCTGTGTGGAACTTCAAGTGTTATACTCTTATATATATGTGGGCTTTCTTGAGGCGCTCCTGTTTCATATCAGAAACAAAACAATAATAATAATGGAATTTGGCCAAAAATGCAAGAGCAAGACCCAGCTGAAAAAGTGGCTTGAGACTCAGTAAGGCCTTCGTAATTAAAGATACAGAATCTCATTATTATTATTAGTTTCTGTACAAGAATAAAAACTCAACACATTCATCAATTACAGATTCAAGAAGGGCCATTCCCCGAAACGTCACTTATGATATACATATTTCCTTTCAAGGCATGTGTTGAGTTTTTGTCACTTGTGCACCACTGCCAACACTGAATCGGCAAATAATAACACTGAAATAAATGAAAGTGTATTCATTTCATACAGCAATAAAAAATTTAAAATATATTTACAAACATTCTCAAATGCAATACAATTTGGATAATATAGCATCTAAATAGAATAGCATCTCAGCACGCCGTACAGACCTTGAGCATCTGGTAAAAGGGAGGGGGGGGGGTGTTTATTTAACTAATAAGAGAAAATTAGATGGTCAATTATAGTGAGAGGAAGATTGGAAGGTGATCAGCCTGGATTCGAACAGAGGCAGGAAGTCAATGGCACAGATGGTCGCGGGCAAACAAGTTCCACATTACGCAAGCAGGAGGGAATTAGTGACCTCCCACTGAGCCGATGGGTTGACTGGGGGTGGCTTTGACAAAAGGCCTCGGTTGCTGGAGTGGAGAGTGTGTGGAAGAGAGTAGAGTGAGATGAGAAGCAGGAAAGTAGGTAAGGACAAGGCCAAGGGGGCCCTTGAAATCAGCACCGGCCCAACATCCTAAAGAGGACAAACACGAATAGAGCGTTGGCACCAATTTTAAGCTTTTCTGAGAAAATTGATTCCTAACACATCACTGATAATTCCCCCCATCGATAGCATGAGCACAGAATTCTTATATATTTTTTAAGCAGACCGAATAAGAAGCGGGCACTCACTCATGATCTCTGTAGACGTCCATAAGAAACTGACGATCGATGCCCGGGAAAAGCTCAAACAACTTCTGTTCTTTCAACTTAGCCGACACGTCTTTTCTTGTCCTCATTGTTTTTCCTCCTCCCTGAGCCAAATAAATGTAGAGGCAATGAATTATTTATTACGGTGAGCTTCCAAAAAAAAATATGGACAAGAACTGTAAACAGACACCTAGCGATACAATTATAGTTGAAACTTAAAAAAATATGATTATCTTAAGGTAAAACTTTCCATTACTTTAACGTAATATGTACGGGCAACGCATTATGTAATGTGGTAATATAGCAAATAAATAAACATTGACCAAAACAATTGTAAAATTACATCGTCATACCAAAATATTACTTGTTAGAAATGCATATTTTATGGTGGATCTATGGATAAAATGCACCTTACAAATATAAACTATATTATTACACGTACAGCCCCTTGGTCAATCCACTACTCGATGAGGGCCTCCCCACACCGTGTAGGAAGGGTTACTTGAGCATACTTCACCACAATGGTCAGTGCGGGTTGTGAAGGTCATTATTATATAAAACTAATGCAAGGGTTAAGGAAAGGAGCCTCGAGCAGAACATATTGCAAAAGTAGATATTGAGCGGTGGTCGTGAATAACGATCGCATACCAGCCAAATTGAATCATCTCCTGTATAGATACTCGATAGATTTTTGCATCGCATGACCGTGAGAGATGGCAATGGCTTGGGAAGGCCTTCATCCAGCAGTGGACAGATCCCGGCTGATGATGGTTGAACGCAAAAACACATTGCCAGAAAATGAGCTAACTTAACTCCCCTCCTTTGACGCAGGTCACAACCCTTAAAATAGGAACACGTACTAAAATTACTTCGCAAAGCGGCAGAAATACTGCAGCGGGAATCTCATGGGGGTGCGACTGACTGCGCTCACCTCTTCCCTACTCAGCTGGGAGGCCAGCTCCTCCGACATGATGTCCAGCAGCGACGAGGGCTGCCCCTGACTCTGCCTGTAGCTGGGCGCGTATGGAGAATCCCACAGATCCTCGTCGACGCTGGGGCCCAGCAGCAGAGACACTGGCATGGACGTCCACTGCTGTCGGCGGCTCGCCGTGGCATTAGAGGCACTACCGGGTCTGGGGGGGCCGCGGTTTTGCGAGAACGAAGGCCTGTCCGCTGCTTGGTAGTCCTCGGACATCATAAGGTGGGACGACCTCGCGTCTGGGGCAGGGCAGTGACAGGAAATGTAATGTAGTAACGGCAGTTGGGTGAAGAATAAATCGGCCCCTGTTCATGGGTGGTTGTTCCAGCCAGTAATATTGGAGTAGCCAATGCCTTTGAAGACTTGTCGAAATTGAATTCTGGGCCACATTTTCTTGTTTGAATACATTCTACTCGGAAACATCCAATTTGAAAAGGGCCAAAAGGCAGATGAACTAAATCATATTATAGAGTACAATCAGGATTTATATCGTGTCTAATTGTGACTGCATCCTCAAGATGCTGAACAAAAACAGTGGGCATATGTATTTTATAGCCAGGGTTAAAATGAAGGTTATGAGCCTGGCCTTGAAAAGTGGCAGAGTCGACAGCATGGATGGCTGGGAGAAAGGAGCTCCAGACAACGGGGGCAGCAGAGGAAAGCAAGTGACCTACCACTGAACAAAGGTTGACTGGGGGCTTCGAAAGACAGCCTCGATTGCTGGAGGGGAGAGTTCGTGAAGGGGAGTAGATTAAGATGAGAGTATAAGATGTAGGCAGGGAAGAGTGACTGCCTATACCGTTAACTACCAATTGATTCCATGAATAAACCAATGTCAGTTTTTCATGATAGAAAATTAAATTGAAATTACCTGGCAAATTTTCGGAGGCTGAAGCAAATTCAATATATTTTGGTTGTGGTCATTAAAATTAAAATGGCATTTTAATCGCATTTACAACGTTCCAGTGGGATCCTCTTACGCAGCGACGCTTCAAAAATTACGTACACAATAGTCCCCGAGTTACGATATTTCGATCTTACGATGGCGATAGCGATACGACAAAATTGTACAATATTTTAAATTTCGCGCGGCAGGCAAACGCAGCAGCATACGAGGTACGAATCTTGGTGAGTACAGTACAATATGATATATTACGATACATTCAATGCTTGTATGACACGTAGCTTTAGCGATTTCATTTTAGGGTTACCACAATACGATATGTTCATTGCATGTTAAAAGTTTTTAGAACAGATAAGATTGTTTCCTGAAAAAACTTTCTATTAAATTGCAGTTCATATAGGTAGGCTAAGAATTTACTTTGTTTTTTTACTTTACATTTTACACAGCGCAATACAGTATTGTAATTAATAAATACATACAGTAAATAGTTTATACAGTACGGTACTGTAACTTGCTCTGTTTTGCTAATTTATCACCATTCTTTAAGACTCCTGGGTAGGCTAGTCCATCGTCGACTTACAATATTTTTGACTTACAATGGAGTCGTCGTAACGCATCTCCATCGTAAGTAAGGACTACCTGTATTTGTTAAATGTGTAGTGTCTTCAAAAATTACTCACACCGACACGTTGTAACAAGTCACCTGCTTACACTTTATTCACTTATTCTTGCGCCAGTTGTAGGCACTTCTAGATCTATCTGTACGGTCACATATACTTGACTTCTCCCCGCTCTTATCTATTCTGCACCTCACTTATCCTGCACACAGCAGCTCTGCTCTCAGCAACTCTGCACACAGCGTCTTCGCACACAGCGACTCCGCACACAGCAGCTCCGCACTCAGCGACTTCGTACACAGCAACTTTGCATCTCCACCGCTGCCCTCACCTACGCTCCCTCAGACCCGCTCACCCGTCTGTCCCGGGCGGGGGGTTCAGCCAACACCCGCCCGGCGACGGCGTGAGGGTTGAGGTCACGTTGACGGCTGGAGCGGTGAGATGTCTTCACTCTTGGTTCCCGGCAACAACTCCCCTCGCTCCCCCTGCTCATTTCGAGTCCTCACGTGCTTCCACTTGAGTTGCCGCTAGACCGGCACCAGTTGTCCCATTAATCCCTTATCATCACCCCCCATCTCGCGCCAACCTCCGGTCACAGGTACCCCACCTGCTCGACCTCGGTTGCACCCGCTTCTCCCCTTAATTACTGGCGGTTCGTCTGTGCAAACCTCATGTTGCAGCAACACGCACATCTGTTTGACCTCAGTTCCACCCGCAACTCCCCTTAACTAGTTTGTCGGTGCAAACCTCATGTCGCAACGCACACACCTGTTTGCCCTCCGTTGCACCCGCTTAACCGTGCGCACCGCGTATTTCTCTCCTCTACAAATGTATCACGTGAATAAAGTTGTAGCACTGCCTCGCTCTTCACAATGTACTCTTTAGAAACCACAAGGGCCAAGAGATAGGTTTTAGAATGTAATGCATTATATTGGTCATGTTTTCTAATAACATTGAAAAACATTAACATTCTAACTAATATACGATTCACTATCATAATGATCCCCAAGGGTATGCTACGATAGGTCATGCTTCTAAAAGAATATTGCACTGTTGTTAATACAAGTAGGGTGTTGTGCGTGATATATTTGTACTCTTTAATATATTTTAAACCATTACCTTCTTGCAAAAGCTGGTAAGACAAGGCCTCTTCCTTCTGACGGGCCTACACAAACACGACAGCATTAAAAGTATGAGACATAAATAAGTAATGGTAGACATTTTTTAAGATATCCGATTCCTCCATATTTTATTTCCCCCTACTTATATACTGGCCAATAAACTATGGTACATTCCTGCAATTGCACAAGTACACACAAACCCGAAACGAAGCTCAGGATGACGCGGTATTTAGACGTGGGTGAAATAAATTGCCGTTTAACAACACTGTCATCCAACCTAACTTAAAGCAGATGCTCACTTCAAATGTATTTAAAACAATCTGGGATAAACATTACCGATGCATAACTGCATACACAGCGAGGCCTTGGAAGAGATAACACAAGTCAAATCGTGTGATCCAATCAGTAAATAATGACGATAAAAAATATAGCACTGTATACAAATGCCTTCTGGCTGCTTATATACTACAAAATCTGATATTGCATTCCGCAGGTCACAAGAGGCTATATTAAGTTGTGTTCAACAGTTGTATTCTAACTATTCTAACCGTTGAACAAAGACAGTTACTGCATCGCGCGCTTTAAGATGCGCTTCAGCGGCCATCTGGAACGCTGTTCCTTCCGATATTAACAAGCCACTGGAGCTATGCACTTTAAAATCTAGATTGAAAACTAATTTAGAACTGATTTGTGTGTTAAGTTTGTTGTCTTTCTCCCTCACATCTGATTAGCATGGTTGGTTACGTACAGTGTGAAAGAAGTTCAACATACATATATACATGTTGTTCCAAACTCGATACCGTACAAAGGTGTTTGAGCAAAGGGAAAATTCAATACGGCGAGTGAGTCAGCGACCGATGGGAAGTGCTATGTGGCAAGAGGTCTGGTCTGCGGGGAGACACACACCATGACGGAATCCTTCCAATGCTGGTGAATCATCTGCGCCATTTTCATATCGATTCGCACCGCCAGGTCCTCGGGGGCCAGTGAAACTGCAAGCAAGGAGTCAGAGTCAGCAATGTTCACAGCAAACAAAACTGGATAGCAGCATGCGCTTGAATCACAGGCCACGCACTGCGTGAACTTTGCCGCTTGGCAGCCTTCAGCTTGACCGTGTTTAAGCGATAGTTGTATTTGCGGAGGAACTTTGGCCTGGGATGACCAGTAAAAGGCAGATAGGTGCCAATTCTTAAATGCCATACTAGTCAAGACTAATCTTAATCACACATTGTGATTAAGACCAAAACAAATGAAGGTAATAAAGAACTGCTTTATAGAAGATTGGTGGGATCTGCAGCTCCCTCAACATTACTGCACTGCTCAGTTCCTCAGCACCGAAACTCAAATGACACCAGTGATATTTTAGCACAGGCAGTGTGGCAACAAGGGGGTGACTAAGAGGACAGCAGTGGCCTTTATAATTTACTGCAGTAGTTTTATAGGCACGATGTCACAAAACCTTTTCATAAGCAATCTCAAGAGCCATCATCACTTATCAATTGCCTGCTCTGATTTGACTTTAATTACCACCGCCACAAATGGAGTTTTGACACTCCCCCAGCTGGAGTGCCATCAATATGACTGCTTTTCCAAACGTAAGTGAGAGCATTAAGAATGTAAAGGAGTGGTCACTTCCACCCGAAGGGGCCCATTAGCCCTGGCCCACTACAAATTAATTGACTCGGCATAGGAAAGGCGCGCTCTACATCCCGAATGCTGTGGAAACATGTCAAGCTGTAGTTTCTAACCATCCCGGCCACGATCGAGAGTTCGGTTTGCCCTCTCGCCGGCGCTGCACCGATTAAAATGTTTGCCGCCACGCTGTCAGCACGGGGGGGGGAGGGGTGGGGGGAGGACATGCCAGCCAGGTTCATGCCGCAAGACTGCAGTTGTTGCCGAAGCCAGGCTTTCAAATACCCGACTAAAATGTAAACAAGAAACTACGACGCGTCGCACAAGTGCAGATCTCAACACAAGAGGCTGGAAGCATGAATATAAGATGCATCACCAGCCGGCTAAAGAATAGCATCCACATGCAAACATAAACGAAGGTGCAGCGAAGGGAAGAAGCGGCCATAAACGCATTATCTGGTTATGTGTAAGCAAGTATAGATAACATACCCCCACAGGAAAAATCACCAGTAGCTGCAAAGATGCGGACAAGAAAATTAATATTTAACTCTTTTTTAAAAATTCAGCAAAATTCTTTTGGGAAACCTTTGCAGTTGACAAAACACCCTGGCAAGCGAATTATGCTTAATTTAATATCCTGGCTTTAATCCATGGCTTGACAGGGCAGAGCAAGTGTTTTGCGTAGACACATTTTCACTCGCATTGTTACCACATGTGTGAAGACACAAAATATGATGACTACTGATGGCTGAGGGGCTGAATGTCCCCACCATCTTATATCACACATCACAAGAGGTTATAAGATACAGGCTCTACTATTTACCATAATCAGTACCATATATACATTACATAAATCATCCCAGTCACCATCTTCCTACATACTTTGTAAATAGCCAGCTATGCTGAAACAAAACATACCGGAAAGCTCCTCTGATCATATTTAAGTGTGGCAATGGATTTTTGTTAAGCACCTCATTGCTACACAGATTGAACAGTGGTAATCAGTGTGAAGCTAATATTTTTGTTTACAGCTCAATCCGTTTATAGGTCATGTTTTGCTGTAAGTGCTGCAATATAAGTATTTTCAAACGGTATGAACCCGGCGAACTGAGTTCTGCATCCGATTCTCGGTCGAGGCCAACATCAGTGGGGATATCCAAACCGGCTCCTGTGGCCCCTGCACCAATTCACACACTGATCAGCGTTGGTGAAGTATGGTCAAATAACCCCCCACCCTCCTCGCGTGGGAAGGGTCTGCATCCAAACAATGGGTTGTAAATCAATCATCAGATCAACAACATACAAAAAAAAGACTCGTGCGTGTTTAATGTAACCCTCGGCGACTTACACTCATCCAGGCCAATGGAGCCAAAGAGCTCTATGAGCTGTATAGCCAGCTCGTGGGGGAGAGAGAACTCCAGGGTGGACAGGTGGGGAAGGGAATTGGCTCCATCTCCCGCCAAAGGCTGTGCAGTCCTCCCCACCCCCGGGCCCTTGTCGAATAAATCATCGCCTTCCACTTCCCGCACTTGACCAACGGCACTGCCCTCCGTGGCCCCGCGAGACAGTGCTCGCGGCACTGCGCCCGCTTCTATTTCGATGCCCCTCGTGATCGCCGGCTGTGCAGGCGGCGTCTCCGAGGTACCAGCCGCTTCCAGGACTGGTGCCGCCAACGAGGCATTTGATGCGTTGCCTGGGGCCATTGCCGTCCAAGCGGCGAGCTGCTCCCAAGTGGTCACGGTCTCACTGGCGCGCACCCTGTTGTCTGAAGATCTTAGCTTGTCATCCGTGGAAGTAATAATCTTTCTGTCCAGCATTGCGTCATCTTGAATTGCAGCACTGTATTCGCAGCAGTCACGTTCTTCTCGCTCTGCAGGATTGTCCGTTTCACCTTCCACGCGGTTCACATCATTGTTCACCAACGTACGTTCGCAATCAGCACCTTTAGTTTCGTGACCTAAGGAAACCTCATTCCTGCTCTCTCCGGGTACATTTCCTTTAGGTTGGACATTATCGATGTGTTGGCCACCAGTGCCTGTTGTACCATCAATTTCTTCACCCATTTGCTGACGTCCACAATCAGACAAGACTGCTGTGTTTACTTCACCGACAGGCCTCGGCGGGGTGTTTTTCCACCAATCAACCAACGTATCCTCAACAACGTATTTTTTTGGGCAGAAATCAATTGCACTTTCATCTTCTTTGCTTCCAGTGCCGATGCTTGTGTTGCTGGGGCCAGTTTCAGTTTGTTTTCCGACAGGCTGAGCACGAGCAGTGTGACAAAGCACGTCTGGTTGCATTGATGAATCACTTTGCAATACACGGTTCAATACTTGGGTATTTTGATTGGTTGAACACTCCATGGTTTGTATCTTCTGCAACACGTCTTCATCAATGAATGATGACACTTCAGTGTCAGTTTCTTTTCCTGTGATTTCTTCAGACATTTCAACACCCGATTCGATTAGAACATTCACTGTCCAGTTTAAATTCCTGTTACATTTTTCATAAATGTCCACCAAAACCTCTCTGCTGACCGATCTGAAATGTGTTACCAAATATTCTGCGTCTCTCTCCGGTTCAGGATTCTCCATGTCGTCTGTTAATATACCTTTGTCAAGTTTTAATTTATATGGAATATTGGGGCCCACTTCATCAGCAGTTGCAACAGCTTCATTACGGATAGTAAATCGATCTGGATTCCCGCATACGACGACAAATGGATCAACACTATCCAATTTGTTTTTAGTCACCTTCCATATCAACGCAAAGTCCTCTGGTGCTGTGTGAGTGGACTGATGTTTTCGATCCAAAGGACGCGCAGACTTATCGCGGCTATCGACCACAGTGTTATCATCATTCTGCAAGCTCAACGCTTGTGAGAAATGTGCAACTAACTCAACTGTTTTGGCAGACCTGGGCATGGAGGTCACAGCAGCTGCACCTTTCGGATCATGAGAACCTTCCATTGCATCAATGGAAACTGCCAGCTGTTCGTTCTGCTTCAAGCGGACAGTTTCCATTACCTGGGCCAAGAAGGGATTTTCAGCAACGAGCGATGAACTGGCCACTTTCAGAACATGAGGTACGTTATCTGAACGTCCTGTAATCCGACCTTCAACGGCAGCAGTAACCTTATCTGTGCATGATGCACTGACAATGCCCCCAGGCTGCCCACGCACGGTTTCCTCGTTTTTTTCGAAGTCCGCTCCTGTGTGATCGTGCGGCTGTTTAACGGAAAACACATCTTCTTCCGCCATGTCGGCTCCTTCTCCAGGCCCAGTGCTGACAATGTCAGCGGGCACGCAAGCATCAATCTCTGGTTGCTTCTGGGTAGCGCTGGGCTCAAAATCTTCCTGCAGCTTCTCAATGCTCATCTCTTGTGCATTTCCTGCATCAAGGCTTTCATTTACTTCACCGATTGCAGAAGCTGCAGTTTCACACCCAGGGAGATGACAAATTGTTAAATCAGGAGCGGCCTGACTCTCAACTTCCTCTGTATTTGGCGTGGAGTCATGCCGTTGCCTTCTTACTCTCTGGCCAAGGGGGACAGTGGGAGTATCCGAGGGCCAGTCATCTATTGGATCAAATTCATTTCTCGAAAGATCAGAAGTTTGTTGGGGGATCTGTTTGGCTGGACTCTTTAGGCGCCTCGTTCGAGTTCTTTTTTTCATCGTTATGCTCAATGCAATTGGATTATCTGTGACTTGATTATCTGCAGCATTCATTCCACTATCAGCCGTTTTGCTCGATGCAAAACATTTGTCGGGTTCAATGACTTCAGCTTGGCAATCAGAAGCCAACGTTTTTGGTAACCCCTCAGCAACCGCCCTACTTTCAAGTGGCAATACGTCTGGAAGAAGAATATTTTTTGTTGAACGTGCATCACTGTTATCTTCGATATTTTTATTCACCGTCACTGCAGCCCCTTCAGAAGATGTATTGCCAAGGGAATGCTGTTTAAAACCATTGGATGGTCGCCCTGCACACGACCGCGAGCCGTTTTCATGATTAACAGCCTGCTGCAAGGCAGCTCTTTCAGTCTGGGCAAGCATCTGTTTAGATTTTCCCTTGACGTCTTCTTGTCTGCAACATGAAATTAAATCACAAACTGAACATTTTAACCTAAATGCAATTTACAGGATGACCTATTAATCACATCAAGCCACATCCATAACAGACTTTTAAACTACACACTAACACAACTTTTGAATTTAATTGATCACGTTAAATTTGAAAAATTACACCAAATCACAATCCAAGGAAAATGCACGAAGTATTGAGAATGCAATTAAGAATACTTCTGTAATTGACTGGGTTACGTAAGCAGTGGTGCACCTCACTGGGGTAAAACAGTCGACTCATTTTCTTCTGTTTCACAAGTGCTATCAAAAAGTGCTGGCGAGCAACTTTCACTTACCCCACCACCCAATGGTCACGTGGAGCTTTGAAGGAGCCCATTATTCTCTCCACAGTCATGTGACGCTCGTAATTGTTTAGCATGCGTACTATCTTCTCCCGAGAAATTCCATGTACATTTCGCCTGCGGACAAGAACCAATATCCACTTTGGTATTTACAAGAAAAAATCAATTTAAAAACGCATCTGAAGTGAAGGATGTTCAATGGAATGGTGATTAATTTTAGGTTTCAATTATCAAAAGAAAATTTGAAAAAATTTTTTTCATATTTTACAGCACTTACTTCTCCAGTTCTCTGGTCTTAAACTTCCATGGCGTTTCGGGCTCTTTGAAAACAATCTTGTATTTCCTTTGCAGTGCCTTTGAACAACGGCATCACACGTACCATACTGCATTAACCCTGCAGCCCTTGATGCTTTATGTATTCCAAGGTAAAAAAAACTACCCCCGCCCACAGCCACTTCACTTGTCTACATGTTATTTCATGAATGTGGCCTTTCTAGGAATAACCTTTTTATGCTTTGTAAGTCAGTCGATGGCACTCAAAAATCACTCAAACTCAACAAAAGCTGCCGTTTCAAATGCCGAAAAACATATGAAAATGACACACGCCTGGGTCATGCTATATCACAGCGTGTGGTTCTTTTGTCTGTGATTGTAATGATAAACATGAATAACCGCTTTGTTCAACAATTGGTTCACATAATCCACAAAAGGTTTTTTTTATTCTACAGCTATGGACATTCTAATATAAATATAACAAGAGTACTATTCGAAAGGTACAAGCCTTGATGTATCAATTACACGGTGTGTATATGTACACGTATACTGTAAATATGGGGAGCAATCGTGGAACGGTTAGCCCACTGCACTACAAACCTGGCGACCCGAGTTCGATTCCCACTCGCAGCCAACGCCAGTGACAATTATCTGAATCGCTTCTGGGCCTCCCCAAGGTCGACACAGCCTCACATGAGTACCTGGTGTGGTGTGTACACATCGCCACTGGAGAGACAAAGGCGGTCGGGCGTGGTGCAGGCCACCTATCCCCTTTTGTACCATGTTGGCCTTCATAGGTGCTCGCTAACAGCACTTGCCCAAACAGTCTGTTGAGGCTATACGGGGGGATCTATGTTTTTGTACATATGTGTGTGTGCAGCTATTCGACTACACCTGGTCATTAATGAGGAAGCACGCGGCATGATATTAATAATACGCTCCTGCACTTTTTCATTTTACAGGCAGCTTCTGTGTATGAGGCGAATTGCTGAGCATCTGTGTTTGAGGTGAGTTACCATGGCAACGTAGGGTCTCATCTCCCAGCTGTGCATGTTGGTATTGTCAATAATGATGGGTGACATTCCTGCATCCATCGCGTCCCTGGCTTCACGCACACAAAAAACTATGCAAATGCATCCCAACCATTGCATGTTACGCACGAACATGCTCGCACTAAATCAGTGGTAGGGAAGCTTTTTTTTTGCACCCTCATCCATATGTAATTCGGTGACCTTTTATGATAATTATATGTTTAACATTAGAAAAACAGACATTTGTATTACAGGTTTTTTTCCCTCCATTCTGTTGCACTGACCTTAAACAAGCAATAATGCTAAAGGTTACGATGTAAGAGATATACACATTTTACGACCAGATAACAGAAAATCGAGACTCAAATTCTGCTATTCAAGGGACACTTGGTATTAAACAAGTAGTGCAAAACCATTTTGTGTGTGTAAACAATACAATGCAAAAAAAGCCACAATAAACATTTCAACATAATTAAAAATACATTTTAAAGGACAAAAAAAAATCATTATACATTTGACATTAAAAAAAGGCAATTTGTGCGCCTCCATTTTGTACAATCGTATTATTATTACTACTACGTAAACTGAAATGTATTTTTATGTTAGTGCACACACTGTGAAATGTCCCATTCTCAAAGCATTTTTTGACAGTTACTTACATGAGTATAAACCATACACATAGTGATTTATGTGCTTGTTATAGAGCTGTGGAACACAGGGTCAGGGCTCGAACTAACAGCTCCTGGAATCGAAAACAGCGCATGCCACCTCTGAGCCAAGATCACCTCTCGCTGCCATCTGGCCATATACATGTGTAGAGGTGATACGCGCTGGGATTAGGGATCGTATGCCAGCACGTAATGATTGGCTGTGTAGGTGGTGACGCGCGCTGACGGTGGAGGATCAGGGGTCAGCGCGGGGTCGTGGGTTACGGGGTACTGATTGGCTGTGGGCCCGTGACGCGCTGAGAGGGAGTGATCGGGTGGCAGCGCGGTGTGATTGGTAGAGGAGTGTTAACACGCGCTGGGGAAAACGGATCGTAGAGAGAGTGCATCGTGATTGGTTCACTAGGGAACGATGCTCACGTCGACGTCCGGATCAGCTCCGTCTCTCGTGAGCAGGGGCTATAAAAGGGGATGCACACAGGCGTAAGAGCAGTATGTAACCAGCGAAGAATGAAGACGGGGATGAAGACCTAGGGCCCTGCGGTACCTAGTCCCGCTGTCCTAACGGGACCGGGACTCTGTGTAACCCAGAGGCGAGTGTAGTGTGTGTAGCCATAGACATAGAGTCTACACGAGCCGAATGTATTGTGTGTAGCCAGAGGCATAGGGTCTACACGAGTCAAGTGTATTGTGTGTATCCAGAGGCATAGGGTCTACACGAGTCAAGTGTATTGTGTGTAGCCAGAGGCATAGGGTCTACACGAGTCAAGTGTATTGGGTGTAGTCAGAACCATAGAGTCTACACGAGTTAAGTGGAGTGTGTAGTCGGAAGAAAGGAGACCACACGTTGTATGGTGAACGTAAAGATTTAATAAAAGTGTGTTACCCGTCAAGAAGTTCCTGCCGTCAATTCCAATACTTCAACTGGCGTCAGAAGTGAAACGGTCTTCCAAGCATGGAGACAAGGAAGACCCGTCGGACCCACGGGATTGACCGCGGGGACAACCTCGACGACTCGGGCCAGCTGGCATCGGGGGGTGAGGACGAGGAATTGCCCACGCTGCAGGATCCGCCGACGGCGCCGGACGAGCGACGGGGGACCGACGCCGTGCTTCGCGAGGCGCACTCCCGCCTGGCGGAGCTGCTGCTCGCCGCCGCGTCCATCCTGGCGGAGATCAGCTCGTCGGGAGGAGCGGGGACGGCGGCGGACGTTCTGCAGGGTCGCCCCGCAGATTCCCGCCAAAACGACTTGGCGATTCCCGCCATTTCATCTGCGCCGACTTTTGGCGGGAACGGCCATCACCACGTGGCAGCGGTTCTCCAAGCGCGCCCGCTTACGTCACCAACGCGCGCTGCGGACCGCCATCAGACACCCGCCACTGGGGCCGCCATCTTACACACCGACGGGGCGGCGGAGAGGAAGCACGAGGAGGAGGACGACTTCATCTTTCAACAGCGCCTTCCCACGTTGTCAGCCTTCAAGGCGGAAGGCGGGGATTGGAGCCAATTTCAGCGCAGGTTTTTGGCGCATCAGGAGATGTCCGCCTGGTCCGACGCTACGGCACTGCGGGCACTGCCTGCCATGCTGGACGACAACGCGCTCGCGGCCTTCACGTCCGCACGCAGGTCGGACCGCTCCACGCTCAAGGACGCGCTGGCTCTCATGGCCAAGGTCTATGGTCCTCCCTCGGCGTGCCGCCATCATTTTTATGCAAGACGGAAGGCGGACACGGAGACTGTGCTCGCCTACCGCACGGCGTTGCTTGCTCTCGCCGACGCCGCGTTCCCTCGTATGGACGAGGAGGGCCAAGATGCGATGGTTTTGGAGCAACTGCTCAAGTTGGCGCATGACCTGGGGGTCCCCATCAACACGGCCGACGAGACCGATATTTCTTCCTTACGGGTCGCTACGAGCATACAAGCGCACGAGGTCCTCCAACGTAAACAGGGGGTCGTCTGCAATGCTGCCGTGGCCTCAGCTCCGGGCCCGGTAGTCACCGTGCCCCAAGTCGTCAGCCCACGAGAGGAGGCGTTCATCGCGGGACGACTGGGGGACTGGAGGTCGGGGGGTCGTTCGCCTCTGCGATCGGCCCGCAAGCTGGAGCAACCGAGATCTCCGACGACCCTCATCACGTGTTATAACTGCGGCCTCCGGGGCCACGTGGCGTCCGGCTGCCGCGCCCCACGTCAGCGCGCCATGGGACCTCGGCTGGACGACGAACAAGGCCCCAAGTCATCCCTACAAACCCCGGCGATTTGCGGCACCTCACATGCTCGGCCTGCATACTCGACACGCATGGTCCGTCGCGTTGCGGCGGAGGAGAGCCGGTTAGGGTTCGGGGATTCGGTTCGGCGAGGGGGGTTCGGCCGGGTCCGGGGAGACATTAAATGGTCGGAGTTGGGGCACAGAATAGTGGCTGCCAGAGCGGGTTCATCCGTCGTTACGGGATCTATTGATGGGGTCGAGGTCAGGGTGTTAGTGGACACGGGGGCATCGGCGACTATTATATCGGACCTCATTTATAACATTCTCCCTGTACAATGTCGTCCGCTTCTTCCGGTGGATGTGCCATTTTACGCCGCTAACGGGGGATCGTTGGGCATTATCGGTCAGATTAGGGCGTCCATTTGCATTGGTGATATCAAATTGTCGGGACCCGTTTTCGTTTCGTCCTCCCTGGCGGTTCCTTGTCTATTGGGCACTGATTTTTTGGCAAAAATGCCCATCAAAATTCTCATTGATCAGCGTTGCATTGAACTACCATCGGGTCGCCGTATTTCATTTTTGACGAACCCTACTGAAATTCGGACGGCGTGCGCTACGATACAAGCGTTAGCAACACAGACCGTGCACGTGCCCCCGGGTTCACAAATGTTAATTCCCCTCCGGTTGCGGAAACCATGGGTGAGGGAGACCTCGGATCAAGGCACGCTTTTGGGTCCTTCAAATAGGGCTGTTGGAGGTCTCGATTTGTCGGTGGCTCACCCTTTGGTTGGGGCTGACAGGGATCCGTTTGTCATGGGTTTAAACGCTGGGTCGCGGCCGGCCGTCATTCAGCAGGGCACCGTGCTAGCTCACGCGGCACGGGTCCCTGCGGAAGAGCGGCTGGTTGCGCAGGCTGATCCGAGCCCCACGCAAAACGTTAATCCGAAGGAGGACCTCGAAGGGGTCGATTCGCTGTGCGCGCGACACACAAATGCCGATGCCCTGTCGCGGTTGTTGCCTTGTCACAAATGTGCGTGCTTGTCGGGATCGGCGCGCTGTAAACCGCCAGTTACGGAAGGTATGGAGGAGTTGGTTGCGACCGCGGGCACACCAATTGGGGATGTTCCCGCTACCCCAGGGGGTCAGGACTCGCTGCTCTCACTGTCGTTGATTGAGTGGGGCCGTCTCCAAATGGCGGACAGCTCCCTGCTAGCATTGCGCCGCAAGACGGGGGGTTCCGAAGGGGACCATGAACGAACTGGCTCCTACGTGCTTAAGCAGGGCCTGTTAATGAGATGGGACAGTTTGTCCCGGCGGCACGCGATTGTGGTGCCTTCTGCTGTGAGGGGGAAGGTTGTCTTGGCCGCACACGAACGCCTCTTGCATTTGGGAGTTAACAAAACGCTTGCCCTGCTTCAGCGTGACTATTATTGGCCGGGAATGGAGGGTGACGTGGTGAATATTCTGAAGGGTTGTGTTGAGTGCGCCAGACGGAAACCACCGCCTGTGGCAGCTAATCCACCGCTGCAATCTATTCAGGTCTCGCGCACTAACGAGCTCGTTGCACTCGATATTCTGGGGCCTTTTCCAGTCACGCCTAGGGGTAATAAGTACCTGTTGGTGGGGGTCGAATATTTTACCCGGTGGCCTATGGCGTGGCCACTCGCCAACCAGTCGGCAGCGGCTGTGACGGACGCCTTTGTCCAGGGCTACGTCCTGGACAAGGGGGCTCCCGAACGCTTGCTGACCGACCAAGGGAAACATTTTTCGAGTAAATTACTGCAAGAGGTGTGCGACCTGTTGGGTACTAAGAAGGTGCGTACCTCCCCGTACCACCCGCAGACGGACGGGATGGTTGAGAGGCTCAACAGGACATTGACTTCTATGCTGTGCCAGCAGGTGTGTGAGGCACATGTTGATTGGGACCTGCAGGTTCCTGGGGTCCTCGCCGCGTATAGAATGGCCCCCCATGCAGCTACGGGATTTTCCCCGTTTTATCTGATGTACGGTCGGGAAGCCGACCCGCCCATGGAAACGCAGCTGGGTCTGCCCGCACCACGGACTAATTCGAAATTGGCAGAGCATATTAAATTTAACATTCATAAGCTGACAGAGGCAAGGGAGGCCGCACGGCTTAATTCGCGGGCTCGCCAAATTGCAAACGAGCGGTTGCGTGCACGGAAGGTGTCCGTGCACAACTGGGAACCAGGTGACAGGGCCTGGCTGCATTGCCCTCAGGCACCTTTGGCTACGTCGCCTAAATTGTTGAAGCCATGGCGGGGACCCGTGGAGGTCGTGCGGGTTGCACGCCCCCAGTGCGTTCAGATAAAATGGGGAAAACGCCGTTGGTACGTCCACCCCTCCCGACTGAAACCGTTCTCGCCTCCATATGGCCTCCCCTTGTGTCGTGAGGGCCGAGCATGTGACGTGACCGACGACCCTGAGGGGGAATTGTCTTTGCCTGATCCTCACATGTCTCCGCCTGATCCGCTCCCAGGTGTCTCGGAACTGACAGCTGCCGACCACCGGCGGCCGGATCTTCGCGGCGGGGCCGGTCCTTCCAGGCCCGATCCGCGCCGTCTAGAGCTGCCGGAGCCACCGGACGTATGCCAGCGTCCCGTCCCATACGACGGACCGGCCAGACGGACTCGCGCTAGGTCGCGCTACTTTGTGTGACCTACCATGTGAGGAGTCGTGGCAGACGGAGCGCCTCGGCACTGCGTTTAGTCACAGAGACACGTGGCGCGTTCGTTTTCGGGTGTTCGCTCTTATTGTGTTGTTCGTCGGGCTGTATATTGCTTCATATTTAAGTGTTGTGTTGTGTTGTTGTTGTTACGTTACGGGGCACACTGGGAAGTGGAGTTTCTTTATTACTGCGTTGACGTTAGGTTGTGTTGTTGGTTAACAGCCGGGCCGGCTGCAAGCTATGTGGGAGGGGGTGATGTAGAGGTGATACGCGCTGGGATTAGGGATCGTATGCCAGCGCGTAATGATTGGCTGTGTAGGTGGTGACGCGCGCTGACGGTGGAGGATCAGGGGTCAGCGCGGGGTCGTGGGTTACGGGGTACTGATTGGCTGTGGGCCCGTGACGCGCTGAGAGGGAGTGATCGGGTGGCAGCGCGGTGTGATTGGTAGAGGAGTGTTAACACGCGCTGGGGAAAACGGATCGTAGAGAGAGTGCATCGTGATTGGTTCACTAGGGAACGATGCTCACGTCGACGTCCGGATCAGCTCCGTCTCTCGTGAGCAGGGGCTATAAAAGGGGATGCACACAGGCGTAAGAGCAGTATGTAACCAGCGAAGAATGAAGACGGGGATGAAGACCTAGGGCCCTGCGGTACCTAGTCCCGCTGTCCTAACGGGACCGGGACTCTGTGTAACCCAGAGGCGAGTGTAGTGTGTGTAGCCATAGGCATAGAGTCTACACGAGCCGAATGTATTGTGTGTAGCCAGAGGCATAGGGTCTACACGAGTCAAGTGTATTGTGTGTATCCAGAGGCATAGGGTCTACACGAGTCAAGTGTATTGTGTGTAGCCAGAGGCATAGGGTCTACACGAGTCAAGTGTATTGGGTGTAGTCAGAACCATAGAGTCTACACGAGTTAAGTGGAGTGTGTAGTCGGAAGAAAGGAGACCACACGTTGTATGGTGAACGTAAAGATTTAATAAAAGTGTGTTACCCGTCAAGAAGTTCCTGCCGTCAATTCCAATACTTCACATGCAAGGCCCTCTTACTCAAGGTACAAAAACCAATCGTATCAATCAGGTACCTCTTTTGTGGTTCCATTCATGCGCCTCGCCGAGCACCGAGGGGTCGTAGCAGTAAGTCCCGTTTTTAACGAAATAGTCGTCTGTGCTCAGGATAACCCCATTTGGACCTTGTTCCTTAATATTTCTGCAAAATTCAGATCAATCATTTTAGAGGTGAGACGCTGCAGTCAACTTTAGTCATCCATCAACGCTGCTCCGAGCGCTAAAACTTCTTGAGATTTTGAATTCCGTTGACAAAACACATTCCTGCGGAGAGAGCTGGTAGGAACGTTGGGTTGCTCGGTCAATGGCCAGGGTCAACGGCGGCGTGGTGTATTCCGCAAATATGGCCAACTGTGAGGGTGGGCACAAGCCGGCGTGAGTAGGTTAAACGTTGAGTTTTATAAGGGCACCACGGGGTGACCAGCCCCTCCCCACCCAGCCCCACCCCTCCCACCCCCCACCCAGCCCCACCCTCCCCACCCAGCCCTTCCCCACCTAGCCCCTCCCCACCCAGCCCCTCCCCTCTCCACCCAGCCCCATCCATTTTTGGATGCACGACGGACACAATAATCCCCTGTGGGCTGGTGTAACCAGGAGGTTCCTACCAGTATTACGTTGACAAATGTTGACTATAGCGGAGCATAATATTTTCGCTCACTCTCGAAGAAAAATAATGACTCACGAAGCGCGAGGAACCACGGACAAGCAGGAAGGTGGCCACGCAGTGAGCCGGTGCCAATAATTGCCCAAGCGCTTTGGTCCTCTGTGTAATAAGGTGTTATCCGCCAATTAATGAGTGTTTACACGTGGGGAGAAACCGGAGCACGAGGAAAAAACCCATACATTTGAGGCTGAAATACTCTATCCTATGCAAACGTAAAAGGTGGTGTCCAGATTTTTGCTGTAGCGCATTCTCCTGTTGAGCCAGGGTATGTCACTTCAACGCCGAGGGGGAAAGGGAGTATCACAACATTTGTGCGATTCACCAACCTTCGCCTCCACAGCCTGGATTACAGGTGTGCACCACCACCGCCCAGCAATTCCAAATTCCAAATCGGAAAATAGGGTAATGGAGATTATGTAACCTATATAGCCATAAGACTGGATTGCGGTCAGAAATAATTAGAATCAGAATCTTTATTTAGACTCTATAAATCCAATCAGTTATGAAGCTCTTTTTCACAAATGTCGAGCAGGGGCAGGTCAGCAAGTTACAACAAACAATGCAAAAAAGCCGAATAGAGTAAAAAAGAGAAAAAGTAAGCAAGTCACGAAAATAAATAAATATTCATACAGCATAAAAGTACAAATTACATATGTATACATACATGCCGATTTTCCAACACTAAATGCAAGCTGGGGAAAGGCAACAAAACAACAACAACAAAAGTCCAAGACCCCACTAACACAATACAATCCCTCAATAAAATTGCACATTGAAAATGGACTATGGATACATGCGTAGTGTAGTGAAATACGCGGTGTGCAGTTAACCGAGGGCAACTGAGGGCAAACAGGTGCGCGTGAGGTTTGCACGGGCAAATCGCCAGTTGTTAAGGGGCGAAGCAGTTGGCAACGGGGTCGACCGGTTGTGCACGCTGATACCGGAGGTGTTGCCAGGAGACGGGAGATAAGGGTTGATTGATGGGCCGACAGGCGCCAGCCTGGCGAGATCTTAAAGAGACGCACGGGAAGTCTCCGATAATTAGCAGAGGAATATATGGGCGTGTGCCGTGAGCAGAGCGGGGAGTTGTTGCCAGGGAACAACTAAGAAGACATCGCGCCGCTGCCGCTCCAGCCGTCAACGCAACCTCAACCCTAACGCCGTCGCCGGGCGGGTGATGGCTGATCCCCCCGCCCGGGACAGACGGGTGAGCGGGTCTGAGGGAGCGTAGGTGAGGGCAGAGGTGGAGGTGTAGAGTTGCTGTGTGCGAAGTTGCTGTGGGCGGAGACGCTGTGTGCGGAGACGCTGTGTGCGGAGTCGCTGACAGGAGCGCTGCTGAGTGCAGAATAAGCGAGGTGAAAGGTAGATAAGAGTGGGGAGAAGTTACCGTATAGATTAGGGGTCCCTAACTCCCGGGCCGCGGACCAGTACCGATCCGTGGCCTGTTAGGAACCAGGCCGCACAGCAGGAGGTGAGAGCGGCGAGTCCGCGCGTGGCCCGCCCCCATTATTTTATTATTTACCACTTCCGTCCGCGACTCTTTCCCGCACTGCGCACTTGTCTCAGTCACAGTTTTGGTAAGCCCATAAGCTGCTAACCCTAGCCAAAAGAGTAAAAAACAAACGTTGCTGGAGAGCTTCTTTGAAAAGGGGGAAAGACCCAATGATGAACCCCCCCCCCCCTCCCGGTCCGTGAAAAAATTGTCTTCCACGAAACCGGTCCCTGGTGCCAGAAAGGTTGGGGACCGCTGGTATAGATAGCTATAGAAGTGCCTACAACTGGTGCAAGAATAGGTTAATAAAGTGTAAGCAGGTGACTTGTTACAACATGTCGGTGCGAGTAATTTTTGAAGACACCACACATGGGTAAGGACCAACCTTACAAATCTCATTTGCAAATATGGCTGTATCCAGCACCAATCTTTTGCTTCAGGATATTCTTAAAGGAAGATTCACAATGTTACGGGAGGAAACAAGGTTGTTCCAAAATATTGGTGCTCCAACAGCAAATTCTTTGTCACCTGTTCCAATTATTGTTCTCGGGATAGTTAATAGGCAATTAGATGGACGTTAGGTTTCTCAGGTTTGGTAATGGGGTTAATAAATTATCTAAATATAGTGCAGATCTGACAATAGGAGACAAGTAGGAAGGCAAGAGTGGTGCCGATCTGGGCGGGAGATGTCATAGAGAGGAAAACTATCATAAGAAATGTGGTGCCCATGGCAGCACAACTATTGTGAATGAGTGGCAGGCCTAGAAATAGGTGGCTTAGTGAGGGGGGGAAATGTCAGGTAGAAAACAAAAACGTGTACTTTTGATTCATGAAATGCACTTTGGTCCCAGGCCACATGGCAAAAAGCCTTAGTAACATAAATGCGTCGTGATCATACACAATGGGATTAAATGTACACATTTATCAGCTGTGACTGTGGGCAGGCGGCAACATTACACAAATTCAATCCATTACCAGCAATGGAATGTGCATGCCTGGAACACAAGTGTCATTGCCTCAATTGCACGTTTATTTATAGCACTGCAATGTTGTAGTTTGGAGCCTCTTGATTATTTGTTACTCAGCCACTGACACATGTGCACATTTTTTTTGTTGAAACAAAAGTACAGTATATTTAAGAAAGCCACCTTTGCATCCAAACAATGTAAGAAATGAACAAAAATGTATAACACAAAAGTTCATGTTCACTGCAATTTTTTACCTGGATCCAGTATGATTTATCGAAACCAAAGAGCGAAAGTCTATTTTAACACTAGACATTAGCAACAGTGTAAATTTAAATAAAGCACTGCACTGTATTGACATATTTTTGTCAAACATTCCTCTCAGAAGCATCTTATACACAATTATGTGGCTGTAAGCTTACCTGGCCAAGGTTGATTTCCCAGATCCTGGCAAGCCACGAAGCACAAAGAGGACCTTCCCCTCTTTAGACCTGGATCTCATCTTGCTCAGCGGAAATGGCTGTCTAGGCACAGGCGGGGCCTGCGTTGGCCAAGGCTGCTTCGGCAATGGATGTGCATGTTTCTGCACTGGAGCATTTGGACGAAAAACGAACGGCACTGCCATCGGATTCATACTGGACACATTGCCACCGGGCTCTGTGTAACCATACACCTGGTGATTCCAGCTGTTATCTGTGGTAGGTATCGGTCCTAAGTTTGATATCAGAGGTTGGCCACCCCAGCCTTGCCAGCCACCGCCAGACAGCCACGTCATAGGTTGTTCATGCTGGCTCAGTGGATGGGTCTGCTCTCTGCTGTATGAGGGAGGCCAGACCTGCATTGGTGTCCACTGTCCAGGTGGAAATATTCTCATTTTGTTGCCACTGAGACTCAATGGACCCATCGACTTTGGACCGTTTGTCCACTTTCTCTTAAAGAATCAGATGTGGGCCTGAATGCCGCATCAGGTATCTCCGATGCACTCCAACCATGAGAAGATGATAAAGTATCAACATCTTTAGCATTTTCTTGTCTTGCGCCACGATCAGCAGGTATCACTCCATCTGTTACAGAATCAGCTAAGCCCTCAACATTTGACTGGGGTCCTTGTAAAACCGCAGAGCCTTCATTGTGCTGAATTTCTTCCATTTCATTGATGGCCATTTGCAGTTCTAACTCTGCTTCATCCACAACACTTTCATCTCTGTCTGCACACATATTTTCTTTTGCACTGCAAACTATACTTCCGTAATTATCAGAAAAAGAAACATTGCAATTTTCAGCAGGCTGCTGAAGGAACGGCACACCACTACCCTCCGGATTGCTGCTTACTGACCCACAATTTCCAGAACTCATGTTGCTTTGATGATGCCGATCTGAACCAGTGGTTCCAATAACACTTTCCTGTAAAATACTGGAGGGAAAGGATACTTCCAAAACTGAACTCACAGCCTCTGATGGCAACAGATTCAAAGCAGACCTGTCATCTATTGAAGAAGGCACGATACTGAAATTTGCACTGCTCTGCTCGTACCAGATGACACAGTGCCAACACTGTCCGCTGGATAAACGTAATTCAATTCATCTGCAGGTCCTTTCGTTGAGCTTGAAGTGTAAACGATATCACCGGTGTTTGTAGCTGACCTTGGTTGCTCATAGTCACCAATCCAATTACTGCCACCGCTCATCAGCTCGTGAGCAATGGCATTCAAACCTTCTGCTCTCAGCTGCTGTCGTGGCCCAACAGCCCCGCTGAGCTCCAGCAGGGAGTCCATTGCCACGTCAGCTAAACAGACCAGGGGGAGGGCGATGGCGAGAAATGTGTCAGCTGTGCAGGTTATGAAGTCCAAGACAATCCACGTGTAACATACGTCAGCATTCAATAAAGTAGCGTAATTCAATGATAGCAATCTAATAAACGACCTCACGTTCTTCACAGCACCTTTGCATCGAAATGCCCTAATTTGCACCATAAATGAGTCAATGTGGATTTTTCAAAGGTTGTATGGAAATTCAACGAAAGTTTACGAAGTACAAAAGCCATGTAAAATATAACATCGAACCATATTTTAAGTCGGTTACACGTGGCAGGTATTCATGACATTGAAGTAAAATGTAGTCTCTGCATAAAGACTGCATTGCTGTTATTTAAAGTACCATTCACATCTTTCAATACTTTCACCTTCCCACGGGTTATGTTTGTTTGGTCAAGATGATGGGGTGGGGCAGTGGTTCGCACATTGTAAGCCCACTTGACTGGGTTGGATTCCCAGCTATGGGTAACACCAGTGACAAATTATTGCGAAACCAACTCTTGTACCCCCCCCCTGCCCTTCACCAACCCGCACTGACCAGCGTGGTGAAGTTTAGTCATACAACCTCTGACAGCATGGGGAGACCTAACTTGAGCAGTGGCCTAACAAAAGGCTGTACATTATATCATTATGATGACGTCGTCGATATGGTGAAAATAATGAAAACTGTGATATGGTCGTATAATCATTGGTGATGATAATACTTAGTGGTTGTGATGACAGTAATGATTAGCATATTGACAATGATGTTGATTGTGGCAGTCAAGAGGATGATGCCAGCAAATATTTATGACTGACGATGACGTAGTGACGGTAACAATGAAGACGAAAAGGATGACGGTACGATGGTGACCGTTGTGATAGATGCGTTATGATGATGACAGTAATCGTGATGAGGATGACGGTAACAATGACAGTGAAAAAATGTATACAATTAATGAGGACAAGTGATCATGATGACGGTGATTTAAGGTTATGGCGTCAATGACGATGATGATGATGTGATAACGATGATGATGTGATAATAACAGCGACGATGAAGAGCTTGATGACAGTGATGAAGATATTGACGTTGATAACGATAACGAAGATGGTGACGCCAGGACGGAATGTTGATAATGAACGGGATCAAGTTCAGAATACTTATTTATACTGGAGGAATCCGATGAACTATAAAGCTCTTTTTTCCCCACAGATGTCCAGTAGGGACCGGTCATAACGTAACAACAACAATACAAAACACGATAGGGGTGCAAAGTATAGAAAAGGTAAACAAATCACTTAAACAAATACAAATAAAAAATTATTACCAGGTAAAGCCCACTGAGGTGTTAAATAATTTTCAGAAGCGACCTGGCCACAAATCATAACTCAACAAAGTGGCTTACCGTGTGGAAATGTATATCAGCAAAATAATCTTCATCGGTTACTGAATAACATCGATCAGGATGATGAAGACCATGACTGAGATTATTTTGATGTGACAATAACAGTAACGATAAACCGACGATGGTAATGAAGATGGTGGCAATTATGATTATAACGATGTCAACAATATAAAAGATGACACCACTTTAACCTCACGTAACTAACTGAAAACATGCATGTATGTATCTATGTTGAACGTATTTCGCACATTACGTACCCAACCGTGCTCACGCGAGGTGCGTGGGGGAGGAAAACAAAACATGCCTCTCAAATTTACTTAAAGCTTTCGTGACTCCAGGAATTAATATGAACGACCCAATAATATGCCTCTAACAGTGCAAACTGTTACAACCATCTTAACCACAATAATCTCAATAACAGCACACCACAACCGTCTACAAAACAATCGCGCCGAGTCAGATTAAAGTAACATGCACACCGCTGAAGTCGCACTCCACCAGCACGATGTAGACGACCTGGGGGTCCAGGTTCGGGAACATGGACACCATGGAATCCACGACCTGACCCCGCGTGGTGCTAGTTCCTGGGCCGCCCTCCCATGCTTCCTCCCCGGCAGGAGCGTGTAGGCCGTAGGGGGTTTTCGGACCCTTCGCCTGTGCGCTGCCGACACCGGACGCGTTTCTTTCTGGGCATTTTACGTCCGATATACAATTTACCGAAATATTTCACGTCCTAATGTCGCCTGTGAAAACGTAACTTCGCTACTTCTACAGTCTTTGAATGCGCAAAAGGGGCTACCTATCTTTTACAATCGTCTAACGTGGCCGTTTCTCATCGGTGTCGGGGTTAGGGCCGAGGCGGCGAAAAATAAAAGACAACATTCGCTCGCGAAATAAAAACATCGTGGCAACTTTACGGCGATTCCGTGACATCCCCCCACAACGTTTCGTTACGAATGTTTGTATTTAATTTTATTTATTTAATAAAGCTCTTGCGTAATTTTAAAACGCGTCAACTTTAACCTTTGCGCTGTAACAACGTCATCGCCCCCCCCTCCACCCCCTCCACTCTCCCCCTCCACGTTGATTCAACACGTGGCCGATACCAACCCCATACCGCCCCCCATTCACTCACAAGGGGGGCATTTCCTGCCACTGCCCCAACATTTCAGTTTCATTTATTTGGTAGAGCCCTGTGAGCCATTCGGCTCTTGAATCGGGTGCAACCGCAAAAAAAACAAGAACAAGAAAACATCTTAAAGTTGCTTTGCGCAAACAGAAAAATCCAGGAAAAAATGCAAAGAAATTTCCCAGAAAAAAGCACCTGACACCAACACACTGTGCAAATATCCCAGTGGGATGCAAGTCAACATAGCGGGTGGAGCGGTGGTGTAGAAGCAGCGGTTAGAGGGCTCCTGGGCCTTTCCCCTAGGTCGACTCAGCCTAAACAATTATGTGCCTGGTCGCGGTGTGTAAACATCGCCACCGGGGGAGACAAAGACGGCTGGGCGTGGTTCTGGCCACCCACGTCCTCGTGTGCCGTGCCGACCTTCATAGGTGCTCAGTCTCTTTAGGCTATACGGGGGATATTTGTCTTTGCTCCCCATTGTAAACACGTGCGGGCAGCCCTTTTGTAAGTCCCACAGGTGGGCGAGGGCCTCCCGGACTCAGGTTTGCTGATGTCTAAAATTTGCTGAAAACTCAAACGTTTCGCTTGTTAAATAAAAGGCCGGTGTGCCTCATTAGTTGTCATTTTGTACAATATTCATAGTCACAGCTGCCCTATTTGTTTTAATGTGGGGTTTTTGTTACCCAGTACTGTACTCCAGATTAAGAGGCTCCCCGTAGACTGGCCAACGTTGGTTGACGTTCGTCCAACGTTAACCAAGGTAGGGCCAATTTTATTGCTGAGTAATTCTACATGTGATGGTAAATCGGGATTCCTAAAGAGAACCGACATAACGGGAGAACACTCAATATCCCCAAATATGGTTTAAAACTGGACATACATTAAAGTACACATACTTGTGATTTGTTTTATCAGTTACTAAAAACGCATGCATGCAGGATTTATATACAGTACAGTAAATGTCAATTGGCTTTCTCAATGGGTGTTGAAAATATTCACGACTATCAGGGTTGGGATAATAAATTCAGTGGTAATACAAAAGACAGTTATACATACTACTGTACTTAACATATACTGATACGACAAAGCATGATACATTCATGCCAAGATCAAATAATATCAATGCATAAAAACATGCAATGCTTTCATATATTTATATCAATGGTGCAAGTGCACCTCATAAATTGTAAAATGCATTTTAATATTGACAATAACTATCCTACCATAAAAAAATGAACGGTCATTGAATTTCTTTACCGTATTTAACAAGACTGGGGAGGCGGAGGATTGAACTCGGAAACTTGAGTTGAACTCCAATATTTGGCTAAAACAGAGCCAAATGATATTTGAACAAAATAAACTGCAGTATGAAAAAATCCATAACAAACATAAAGTGGCCAATTGCACTTATTTACAAATTAGGAACAAAACTAATCACAAAATTTAAAAAATTTTTGCAGTATAATAAAAATAAAAACCATCATCAACCATTGTTTACCCACTGCTATCACCAACCCTTGCGAATTTTGGATGCCACAGTCCATCTCACTCTTGCACATAAACTGATCTCATGGCTCCATCTCCAGAGGGAGCGTGCTCTCGGACATGATCTTTATTTTGGTTCCATTCAATCATCAGTCTCGCCCATCTACAGTTATGTAGCATTGTGCACTTTTCATATATATTTTTCAACTTTTGTCAGTGTTTGTGCTTCTGATCCATATTTCAAAGTGGGTAGTATTTGAAAATAAATGTAATACTTCATCAATATGCACTCCCTTTCATAGTTTGTGTATACAAAGAAGCATGAAGCATAGAGATGCATGCTTGGAATTGCACTGAGACAGAGAAGAAAGAATATAGGTCAGAGACCAACCACAAATTAGAGACATCATATTGACTCACAATGAAAGAAAATGGACTGAAAGGAATGATGATAGTCGGATAAGACTGGCGATGGAATGTCAGCCATCCCTTGATGCACCAAATTGAACGCCTTCTTTAGATCGACAGAGTCTACAAGCAGCTTTTGCCAAAACCCCTGATGGTGTTCGGCAATGGACACAAAGTGATAATATTATTTCAACAGTTGACTTTTTGAGTGTGAAGCCAGACCGTGTAAACTATACTTTTCCTCCAACCTGGCTGTAAGTCTCCGACTCCTTTAAATGGTCTGAAGTGTTTCCCCAGAAGCAAGCTCTTTTTTTTTTATCCTGGACTATCAGGCAACCACTGACAGCTTGCAAGGGAGTCTCATTTAAAATCTCGTTTACGGTAATGAGGGACACCCTATAGATGACGTGCTTCAGTCTCAATAGCATTGTATGCTCATTAACCACAATACCTCTTTCAACTGACGAAACCAGGCTGCAGATTGCGACAGCGACCCCTTTCTACTCCTCACCGACACAGCAACCTCTGATGATTTCACCACCCCTGGAAGAGGGTTGCATCTGAGAAACAGCGGCTGATCTCTCACCCTACATATCTTAGCGAATAGCAAGGGGCATTGCAAATGTTAAGTCATGCAAGGGACATTGTAGTCTAAAATGCTATCAAAAATAATCATGGGATGTTTACATTGTGCATTCAAAGTATACATTTAAAAGAACCACTGACAGTGAAGACAATTTAGATATTGCCCAAAACGTCAGTAAACTATTTTTTTCCATTTCAAGGCCTATGACCAAATCACCTGAAATGTGCTCGATTTCATCAGATCTCAGAAGCTTTGCAGACTTGACCCTGAATAGTGCATGAATAGGTGACCACCATGTAGAAACAGGCTTTCATCGGGCTGCAGAGCTATGTTGTAGGCATCAGACAGTGGGGCAGAAAAATCCAAAGTTATCCTGTACTGCTGTTCTCACACATCTATGCTCCCCGCCTTCACCAACCCCGCACTGACCAGCATGATGAAGTATTGTCCAATAACTCCCCGGACTAGGGATACCCTCATCCAGCAGTGGCTTGCCAAAAAAATTCTGTACATGAGTACATGTTTACACGTGTACACTTGTACACATGTGCAAAGCAGTGTTAATAATGAGTGTCGTGAGTGTTTCATGAGCTGCGCCAGTGAATGGATTGTGTGCGTAACATTCATCACCACTGTGTTGAAGATCCTTGGGAAAAAAGAAGCCGCAAAGAAATTCTGAAACTTTTAAAAGAGTTCTCAAAAACACAACAAAATAAACACGGATTAATTGCACGACCCTAAAAAGCAAAAATATACAATTGAAGACGTTCCATGTAATGGCCTTTCTTCATAACACATACACAGAGAGGCGAGAGAGATAGAGTTAATAAGGGTTGGAAACTGCATTTAACACCATGAATGTTCGAGACTGATGAGAATTAGATTAAAAAAATGTTTTCGGATGACAAGCAATTCAATAGGCACATGAATTATAGTAATAGTAACTACTGAGTTCCAGATAAAACCCTTCAATAATAAAAAAAACAGCCCTCCAGACAGCTGACAGTACATGCGGAATGATTCTGGGCTGAGAACAGAAAAAAACCAGCAGGAAATCAATAACATCCCACAGAAGTTACTTTTCAATAGTTAACATATTCAGGGGACATTCTCATCAGCCCTTCACAATTTGTAGTTTTACCTATTCGCATTGTGTGGCCTTATCTTGCAACTCTGTTGTTCATCCTGTGCACGATGCATTACTTTCTTAAAAATATATCCATTCTTAGGCTGACGAATCACATCTGTACAAATTGAAGAACCGACGTTTTTGGATTTGTATGTTGTAAATTGAATGGGTTCACTTCATCTGTGTAGCCACTAGAGATGATATCAGTCACTGAAATATGTCAGGCATATATTTTATTCACAAATTGAATCATGACCCTAAATTGCAACAATTGATCCTTATGGCGGTACCTCGGGGTACCAAATAATACTAAATGGCCGAGGCAATTAAATATTTTATTTCTGGGACAATTTTTCCAGGGGTGTACTTAACTCCGCGACTGGGGTGCCAATCAATCCGAATCAGTGCGGTTCAAATAACCTCTACACTGAGAATGGAAAAAGTGGTCAACAATTTTTGAGATTATATCTTTTACAAAGGCCAGAATATCATCAAGATCTTGAACCTACTGCACAAGAACTACTACCCATGCAATGCCTCTGTAAAATTTTCACGTACCGCCATGTTTCACAAAACCCTTTTCAAACATTTATTGGGACGATAATTATGTTATACCAACCAGGACACAAGCTCTAAAGCGTTTACCAGGTTTATAATACCACAACACATCTGCCACTGAATTTGTACCTGCAGTGTGCAGTCGGTCTGATGTGATGAGTCTATGCCACTGTTGGATTGAGCTGAAGAGGGTATGGGAAAGGAACAAAGTAGGTGGGGGGGGGGGAATGAACCAAACGAAAATAACTAAACAGGTATAAGTCCTGAAATGAAAAAAATGTGGAGCAGTGGAACAGTGGTTAGTACATTGCACTTTGAAATGAGTACTCAAATAGGATTTCCGGCCACAGCTAACATCAGTGGTAAGTGATATGGGAACAAGTCCTTACCCCACTACCCCCATACCTTCACCAACCCGCAGTGCCCAGTGTGGTGAAGTATGGTCAAACATATCTCATGATTGACACAGCGTGGCGATGCCTTCATCTAGCACTGAAATGACAATGCATTGTACGTTATTATATATTTAAAAAACTAATTGGTGTTAGGTTCACATGAAAAAATTACGTTTATTCCATTATTTTAACTAGTAATTTGCTTACCATGTTATTAACAAATTATAGCATTAAAACATGTATCCAGTCCCTCATAATTAGAATAATGGTAACTGCTGAAAATGTAATTAAAAGGTTGCATTTTAATTGGCTACTTATTATTTCATTTATATATATGCAACATCAAAATCCCTAGTAGTTTACACACCTAATAGATTAAACATCATGCATAACGGCTGCATTTGAAAATAGAGCTGCAGTGACATTCAACTTCAGTGCCAAAATGAACCTGATCGGTCAGTTTTTTGGTTGTACTTGCATGTTGATTAGCATTGTATGACGTTTCTCTCCACCTAAATATTCAGTTATAGAATCATTTCTAAATAGAACTGAATTACTGATATAACAAAATATGAGACTTTTAGCGTCTTTGTATACCCCTAAAATAGATTTGACGTCAGCTTTCGAAGGCGGAAGGGTATCAACATGATAAAGTAAACAGGCGACAAGAGCAGATTGAAGTGCTCCTTTTGTCAGACCGTTGCTAGCTTGAACTTACGTGAACCCTCGATTTGTAAATGGATTTATTTAACATCAACCCTTTCGAGGCATGCAACAACAAGTGGTCCAAGTTACAGAGCGATCCGAGTTCCAAAACCTGTATCTTCTCTTTCCGCTATGTAAACACAAACTTTGGTGGATCAAGTTGTGGTCAAAATTTTAAAATTAAACTTTCTCTTTAATTCAATGGAAGATGTGCTAGTAAAAAAAATCCATCAATCAATAAGTTATCCCTACCAACTCTGTGACACGTGTTAGTGTATTTGCTGTCATTCCATAAACTAAATGAATGCAGTCTTTCCCTTCGTTTCGTGTATACAATCGTTACAAAAACCATTAAAAGTATACAAAATAACAATACAGTACCTCTGATTTAGAACCGGAGTAGATTTTTTTTATATCAGATTATTAAAAAATGATTAAACTCCTTCAAAAATAAATTGGCATATTTGCCCACGTGACAACTTCATTTTATTGGGTGTGTCGAGTGGTGAAGAGTATTGAACTTGGCATTATATCTATACGATCTAACCGAAAAGTAACTAATAACAAATCCCTGAAAAATTCTAAGTTCTCAAAAACACAACCTCTGCAGCAAGGTGTTTAAACATCCAATATTGACGACCCACTCACTCATGCAAGTTTTAGGTGTTTACAAATCACCAGTTGTTTAACAATTCAGGTACAGTATTTTTCTAACAAATATTAAACTCAACGCATTCGTCAATAAATTGCATGTTTGGTATTTGCTAAAGGGTGGTGGTTAACTTAAACATATTTACTGTGGTAGATGGTGAGGACTGTTGCGTTACCTTTACTATATTATGCACTCCTATCTACGTGACTTTACCGAAAGACCAAAGAATATGAATTCCTGCAGTCACGAAAGCTTTAAGTCAAGATTTACTCCTGTCATAGTTTTGTATTGTTTCTTGTTGTAACGTCCTGGTCCCACCACTACTTGGATATCTGTGAAAACGAGCTTTGGAGCTCATCGGATTCCTCCAGTCTAAGGACATTCTGATTCTGGGTTATTTGGAGCCTGGCTGGTCAGTCGCATGCTATTTATTGAGCGCTTAATATACTTTAAATGGCAAAGGTGAAAAATTACAACAGGTTTATTTTTTATTCAATCGGTCACAGTTCTCCTTTTGAAGGCTTTAGTTGCAATTCTCTGAACTGGTTCTTTAACGTCCACGTGTTTACGTAGTTTTTGTGAAAAGCCCAGCCGTATGGGTGTTGCTTTTGCGGAACAATAGTTTGAGTTTATTTCCACAGTTTTCTGACTTTTTCTCTCCAATTTTCACATCCACACCCCCAAAACACCTGCAACATCGCTTATATCTAGTGGCTCGCAAGATCACAGATCATCTTAAGTCCAGTATTTTTACGCATTAAAAAAAACTTTGCTTGAATCATCAAAACCTGAGTTTTTTTTGCGTGTGTGTGGGGCCCCTCCACCACTGGGGAGACAAAGACGGCTGGGCGTGGAGCTGGCCATCAACTCCCCCTCGTGTACCGTGCCGACCTTCATAGGTGCTCGTAAACCGCACTTAACCTACGGGGGGTGGGGTGTCTTTGTATTTTTTTGGTGAGGTGTCGCCCTCTTCATCATCATCAACAACAGTACAGCACCAATCTTGAGAATAAGTTTTCCCTTTTTTAAATCCTTTATATTAAGTTCGCTTGCTTACTTGCTTGCGTGCTTGCTTGCGTGCTTGCTTGCTTGCTTACAACCGTGCAAATCTTTCGGTCGTTTTTTAACCCACTTCCCGTGATCCAATCGAGCTGACATTTTCCACACAGACTCGTTGTGCGTGACAATTAATTTTCGTGAAAATTTTTTTTCCAAAATTGTACACTGTTTAGGGAAAAATATTTAAATATTTAATTACCAATTGCTTAATGCTGGCAGACAATCATCTGACCCATAGGTGGCAGCCATCTCAAGCCAGAGGACGAGAGGACTCTAGCCGCCACACATATAAAGGATTTAGAGTGAAAAACTTTGTTTTTATGGGTTAATTTTTTTCAACGGTTTTACTGAACTTGATTCCTCTGTTTGTCCGGGTCAAATCTTGTATTCAAAATTTCGTCCACTTCCCATTGTCCAATCAATTCCACATTTTGCACACATACTCAGATCCGGTGACAATGTATGCCTATATCAAAAAGGCATAAATTAATCAATTAATTCGCTACTTTAAAGCAAGTTACATTTGGTATGGACGCCTTATTATTTAAAACACTCTGATAATATATGCATTGTCTTGAAACTGATTGGTTCACACCAGAGACAGCTTTCTGTTGAGCTGTACGCATTTTGGCATCCTCTGGTCTAACACCGTTTGAGACTAGGCTCAAAAGAAAGCTGTCTCTGGTGTGGACCAATCAGTTTCAAAGACAATGCATATATTACCAGAGTATGTTTTTTGTTTGCATTCTGACCACAAGTACTGTGGTTAATGCAGACATGATTCCTTGTAAAAGGTTTCAGTTTGGTGTTTTAACATCTTAACACCTGTTTTGTTGCCAGAAAAAAGTGGAAAACCTCTTCTCATATTTTGGTACTGGCAAAGGAGGTCCCATGAACCACCAATCTTGGCAAGGTTTAAACCTCTGGAATCTGGCAACCGCAAGAGCGCCGCACTTTTTTTAATCATCACAGCCGCCAAATCCAAAAACGAAGCAAAAAAGCAGCCCCCCCTCCACCCCTCCCCCTCTTCCCCCCAGCCCCATATACCCCCTACACCCCCAGCCCCTTATACCCCCTCCACCCGTCCTCCAACCCCCCAGCCCCCCTCCACCCCCTTCTACGGTTCTACCCCCCCCAGACCCCCTCCACCCCCCAGCCCCCCTCCACCCCCCAGTCCCCCTCCACCCCCCCAGCCCCCCTCCACCCCCCTAGCCCCCCTCCACCCCCCAGCCCCCTCCACCCCCCCAGCCCCCTCCACCCCCCCAGCCCCCCTTCACCCCCCCCTCCAGCACCCCCTCCAGCACCCCCCTCCCCCCCAGCACCCCCCACCACCCCCCCCAGCCCCCCTTTACCCCCCCTCCAGCACCCCCAGCCCCCCTTCACCCCCCAGCCCCCCTTCACCCCCCCTCCAGCACCCCCTCCAGCACCCCCTCCCCCCCCAGCACCCCCACCCCCCTCCACCCCCCCTTTACCCCCCCCTCCAGCACCCCCAGCCCCCCTTCACCCCCCAGCCCCCTTCACCCCCCCCCTCCAGCACCCCCTCCTCCCCCTCCACCCCCCCAGCCCCCTCCACCCCCCCAGCCCCCTCCACCCCCCCAGCCCCCCTTCACCCCCCCCTCCAGCACCCCCTCCAGCACCCCCTCCCCCCCCAGCACCCCCCACCACCCCCCCCAGCCCCCCTTTACCCCCCCTCCAGCACCCCCAGCCCCCCTTCACCCCCCAGCCCCCTTCACCCCCCCCTCCAGCACCCCCTCCAGCACCCCCTCCCCCCCCAGCACCCCCACCCCCCTCCACCCCCCTCCACCCCCCCTTTACCCCCCCCTCCAGCACCCCCAGCCCCCCTTCACCCCCCAGCCCCCTTCACCCCCCCCTCCAGCACCCCCTCCAGCACCCCCTCCCCCCCCAGCACCCCCACCCCCCTCCACCCCCCCTTTACCCCCCCCTCCAGCACCCCCAGCCCCCCTTCACCCCCCCAGCCCCCCTTCACCCCCCCCCTCCAGCACCCCCTCCTCCCCCTCCACCCCCGCGTAAAGGCAACAGCGAGCAGCAGCAAGCGGCAGCAGCCCGAACCACAAACCCCGCTCGCTTTGTAACGACGCTTCCCATTGGCTTAGCGGAGGCCTCGATTGCCCACCCGGGGGGGGTGGCGGCCGTCCAATGGGAGGAAGAGGCGGGAGTGAGAAGGCGGGAGTGGAGGTTGGTGGTGGGGGCCCCCCCCCCACTTCTCATCGAGCTGCGCGCGACGCGGCCCCCTCAGCGTTTGGCGCCATTTGCCCGCGCCCGCCGCTGTGTGGAGTTGTTGTTGCGCCGTGTGGTGGTGTGTGTATGTGCGTGTAGGGGGGCGGTTCGTCGACCGCGAAGCGTTCGTTTGCCAGTCGTCGTCAGTTCGGCGTCGAAATTTGCTTCGGAAACAATTTAAAGCGATAAGCTTCATTTTGAGAGCGGGTTTTTTTTGAAAAAAAAAAGCCAAGAATACAAGCGTACGCGTCGGCAATAGGCAAGTACGGTCCACGACCAGTCAGCATCGGCACCCATCAGTAGCATGACCAACAACGTTCAAATAATTGTCACTCGCATCGATTTGTAAAACAAGCATCGGTAGCAAGGGGGCATCATCAGCACCGTCATTATTAGTAATTGACACTTGTCATTATTGCTATAGCAACCATCGTGTCTCCACCCATCATCAATATCGCCAAGAAGCGCCAACTTCATCTCCACCACCACCACAAGCTTGCAACCATCAGCAACATCCAATACCACGACCATCATCACCCCCAACAACATCACCTCCAACATCAGCACCACCAACAACCATCAAGAGCAACCACCACTAAAACCACCTCCACTTCCACCTCAAACATTCACTTTGCAGTTACGGCAACCACCACCATCAACACCACCATCAACATCAACACCACCATCAACATCACCATCAACACCACCATCACCATCAACACACCATCAACATCACCATCAACACCACCATCAACACCATCATCAACACCATCATCAACATCACCATCAACACCACCATCAACATCACCATCAACCCCACCATCAACACCACCATCACCATCAACACCATCACCATCAACACCACCATCAATCAACACCATCAACATCACCATCAACACCACCATCAATCAACACCATCAACATCACCATCAACACCACCATCCACATCACCATCCACATCACCATCAACATCACATCAACATCACATCAACATCACATCAACACCACCATCAACACCACCATTAACATCACCATCAACAACACCATCAACACCATCATCAACACCACCACCATCAACATCACCATCAACACCACCATCAATCAATACCATCAACACCACCATCCACATCACCATCCACATCACCATCCACATCACCATCCACATCAACATCACATCAACACCACCATCAACACCACCATTAACATCACCATCAACATCACCATTAACATCACCATCAACATCACCATCAACATCACCATCAATCAACACCATCAACACCACCATCAACACCACCATCCACATCACCATCCACATCACATCAACATCACCATCAACACCACCATTAACATCACCATCAACACCACCATCAACATCACTTGGGCTCGACCCAGCGGGGTGGGGGGGGCAGGTGAGTGTCCATGGGGAGCTGAAAGCCGCACTTTAAGTGAGTGTTTCTAGTTATTGTTTGTATTAGTGTCGATGTTTATATAACAAGTGTCGTAAGTAGGATACAGTAAGTATTCTTGCAGGGCTTCATTGAAATGGGATGATGTCTTTACTGTTTCTGGAAAAGGGCTCTGGATCGAAACGTCGAGTTATTTTCCTCTACCTCTCACAAACACCTTATTGTGTGTGGTTTTTTTTTATGCACGCTATTGTTTTGTACGATATTTACAGTACAAAGCACGAGCAGGTTTTTTGGTTAATGTAATGCGTTTATCCTCAACACGTCAACCGCGGCTTCAGGGTTAACATGAACTCATAATTTTAGAATCATTGCTCGTCCAAAAAGTACGATGTTTAATGGTTATATAATAGAGTTCCAAACGTTAAATTGTTATTCGTTTAATGAAATGTAATGTTTTACTTTGTTTCCCGTTTCCGACGTTCACGCTATCCGAGTCCACCCAGGCCTCTGCCCTCGAAACTCAGAAATGTAACATTTTAATTTGCGTTAAAATTCACAAATTAAACATAGTTGAGGAATAAAAAGTTTATCTGTCACGTCCCGCGTGTTCATAGTGTAGTTACGTACATTTTGAGAAGTCGGTCGGATTTTGGCGACTACACCCAGCGGGGCCTAGGTGAGACCTCGGTCCTCGGATAGATCTCTCCCGGGGGAAAGTGGCGTGAGACCCGGCCGCGCGGTCGTGGCCTGGATGGGTGCGTCGGTCGGTCCTTAACTATGTATTAGTTTTTGTTTATATTCAATTATTGCACGAATAGTCTTACTGAGATAAACCGTTACAGAGATGGTAATAAGTGCTTATGCACGCCGCTGTGTGGTACAATACAGTGCGGTACAGTGCTGACGTGTAGTTCATTGCAGAGTGTGTGGGTCTGCGGATTTGGGGTTTCGTCTTGTTCTCGTTTTGTGCACTTTGCTGAAACATTTTGCTGGGGTATGAGCGGGGCTCGGTGATTGTTGACGCTGTGAAAGTAACTGTGTTGACTTAATTACTGGGGGTGATGTGTGAAGCAGACGACTTACTGTTGCAGTTAAACTGTACATCGAGTTATTCAAAGTGTAACAATGCAGACGTCTTCTACTGTATGTTGATTTTGATGGTCCAATTAAATTTGAGTACAATTGCACATCTGCATCACTATGAATCGTGGCATTTGTCTTAACAGGCCTCTGCTGATCACACCGATCCAGAGTTTGTTTAAACTAATGCTGCTGGAAAATATTTATCTAGATGTGCCGAGATGTTTTATTAAAAGTGAAGATGTTAAACATAACGTTTATTATGTACAGTTATCAGGTGTACGTCTCCATGGCTTGTGGCTTTAATCGCGCTCTCGACCTGTAGAAGTACAATTAATAGCATTTGTTGTAAGTGTGCTTGGTTTTGCACGTGGGTGAAAATATTATGTCACTGCATAGTTTCCCTTCAATGTGAACTAACCTGATGTTTTGGAAGCACCAATCCTGTGCGTTGGGACAGCCAACAGTTGTTGACACTATATATATACCATTTTATGTTGTTCAAGTTGTTTGTGACTCCTCATTCTGGATTAAATCATGGATTAAGCATGAATAATAACACGTTAATACAATGCTTGCAAAGCACAGAGCCCACATTTGAACCAACATCACTATATTTTCTATATTTTGGAGAGTATAGAAAATATAGTGGTTAAAACAATTATGTAGAAATGACCATACATCATTGTGCAATCCCACAGACTTCCAACGTGAATGATTTTAATGTTAACGGTACTGTGCTGACTCGAGATTGATTACCTACCCGATTTTATTTCCGTGATTTATTTAGGTTTGCATAGAAAAATATGAGCATTTATTGTGGAAAGTAAAAGTATTAGCACATTTTAAACGTAGCACCCACTGTTTTTAAGCCTGTTCATTTGTTTATGATGGTTTTTCTTGGTTCTTAATAAGCAGACTATGATTATCAGGTTACAGAACTAGGACATGAAACGCATCCAACGTATGAAATGGTAACTCTGCCTGAATGTTTCACCGCAGATTCATCTACCCTGGGATAGTTATCGAGTTCCCAAAGAGCATTGGTGGTGTTGTTAAAAGTCACCATGGCCCAGGCCAAGGGACCTTCCAACGATAAGAAGATTGTTTATCCACCAGGCGTCAAGGAAATCACCGATAAGATTTCAAAAGAGGAGATTGTCAGGAGGCTAAAGGTACAGCGTGAACAACACTATTTACATGTTCATATTTTCGTTGTGTTTTTGTTGTTACTTTCATGAACACTTGTGGTTTGAAACTATGTTTTTTTTTTGACAATTTTAATCCAAAATATTTGGATCAGTAAAGAGTAATGGGGATTGAAAATATATTATACGAAATATGAGTTTTTATTTGCACTATATTTATCTTTTTAAAGGACATAACCAACCATATGTTGAGTCATGCTCCATGATACATTTTCCTTGGAGATTTCAAGATATGTGGCAATTTTGGTTTGATATTTTCTTTGCTTTAACTTTAGAGTTGATAAAATAATCGTCATCATGAGACTAAAGATGCCATTGAAATAATACACTTATCTGGTTAATGATTAACAATTTATACCACCAATAATTTTAAATGCATCAAAATATTTTATTGCACGAACATAATCGGTAAATGTTTAGTTGAAGTTATATTAAAGCTGATGTGTCAGCACTTAACCAAATTCATTGTAATCTTGTGTGGCATTGATAGGTGTGAATGGGTTTCAGTATAGTACTTAGTTGGTTTGGCTGTTGACTGGCCTTTCTTTGGTTGAAATACAGATGGTTGTGAAAACGTTCATGGACATGGACCAGGACTCTGAGGAGGAGAAAGAGCAGTACATGCCCCTGGCCTTGCATCTGGCTTCTGACTTTTTTCTCAAACACTCAGACAAAGATGTGAGACTGCTTGTGGCTTGTTGTCTCGCTGATATTTTCCGAGTCTATGCACCAGAGGCCCCGTATACTTCTCCAGACAAAATTAAGGTAAGGATGATTGTTGCATTCAACAGATAATTGCCTACTGCATCCTCACACTTTATGCAGTCAGCTGTTGAGTGCTGTTTGTTTGATCGTATATATGTCTGACTTGTGTACACTGAAATGGGTGATACTCAGACAAAATACAATTTTTGTAAGTTTATTTGTATAATATTACGAAAACACGTTTTCTGTTTGTCACTTATTGATTACAATATATTCATCTTTTACATTTCAGGACATATTCATGTTTATCACGCGTCAGTTGAAGGGGCTGGAAGATACTAAAAGTGCTCAATTCAACAGATATTTCTATTTGTTGGAGGTAAGAGTGGTTTTTACACAATATACAACTTCTACTGATTTTCAAGGACTGCAAACTAAGTGTCTGTTATGAACACATTTAATAATCAAACAGAAAATCACAAGGATTGAACAACATGACATGCCACTGCCCAGCCACTGGCTGCCTGACCTGCAAGTCCAGCACTAGCTTGAACAAGTCTCTTCCACTCGCATCATTCTGCCCTGGGCCTTTTGCATGTCACGCCACATTTTGCATGCCCAGTATGTATATGGAAAGAGTATTGCTGTAAAATTGTTGGTCACTGACAATTGACATGTCTATATTTTTTTGCTTGACGCGTACAAAACCTTAACTCGTACAAAACCTTAACTCTTTTTACACAGACTAACATTTTTACCTATTATCAACTTTGAACCCATTATGTGGGGGTTTAAGTCAATGTATGTTGACATTTAGCCTAAAATTTAGGGTGCAAAAATTATGCATAATTATTTAGTGATCTGGTTCTTACAACGTTATCAGGTCACATGGTATTGTAAACGTGGGGTTTTCATTGATACAGTAATATGACAAATACACCCCAAAATTTTCAAACTGTTTAAGTCATGAGGACAACATTTTGTGTATGAGCATGTTTTATCACTCTAATTACATGAAGTTATTTTATGCTATCTGGTTTTTAGAAGAAATTTTACTTCAAAATAACTTTTTATAAAACACCAGAGTCCAACAATATGAAAATCCGGTGTTAGAAACCCCATTTAAATATCTGCTTGTTCATTTAAAATGTTTTAAACTTTAGTTTGGTATGATCTTTCTACAGAACCTGGCATGGGTCAAGTCATACAATATCTGTTTTGAACTTGAAGAAAGCAATGACATCTTCACACAGCTCTACAGGACCCTTTTCTCTGTCATAAAGTAAGTGTCGGGTTATGTAAAAACTACATTTTTTAAAAATGTGATCATTAAAAATAATGTTGTTTGTGTTCATAATATGACAAGCCACACTTTGCATGAGAGGGTTACACTGGTTGTGCATTCTTGCAAAATGGATTGCTTAAATTAATTTGTAAATTGTGTCATGAATGCGCTTAAAATCGAAAGTTTTTGCACGCAATATCACGTCACCATGGCCACTTGTGTCCTCACTACTTCGGTCATTAAGCCTTGAACATAAATTGATGGGCACACCATTCACTGGCATGTGAATGCTGCTCCTTGTAATTCAATATTCAGGGCTGATGGGTGCCCACTCAATTGAGAGTGACTTAGAACCCTAGGTTGGCATACTTCCCCCCCCCCGCCCATGTGTGTGACCCGCGAATGCTCTTAAAAATTCACCGAGATAGGAGTTGCAAAATTTAGTGAGCTTGAGACGATAAAGTAAGAGCTGTCGACAAGAGAGAAATATTATTGAGAATTAGTTTATATACCCGGCGTTGCCGGGGCCAAAAAAATATTTTAAAACTACTCTTAAAAATCTAACAGCAGTGCGTACTGACTGTGGTGGTACCTGCTATGATTACAGCAGTGCATGCTGAACTGTGGTGGTACCTGCTATCACTACAGTAGTACATGCTGACTCTATAGCACAAAGTACTCACCTGACAGTGGCGTGGTGAAGCCTAGTCCCGTGCAGAGCCTCCGGCCTTGCCTAGATTGTCCAGCCGGCCGAGGTGGCACCTTGGCAGGCTGGGGCTGGGTTGCTACCCTTGATCCCCCCCCCCCCTAGCCACGATCTCCCCGGCCGCTCTGCAGTAATATCTACGGCCTATAAGACTGTATAGTAGTAACTCCACGCATCGGGGTGGGGGGGACATGACACAGTGAAGAATTTACCTGAGCGTTTAGTGTATTTTTTAATAGCATTTTTAACGCGAAATGAAATGTCCCCCTCACTCCCACCAAAGGCGCGTGAGTTGGTATGGTCGTGCTCTCGTCATAAATAAATAAAAAGGAAGCGCACAAAAATCGCACTAAATCGCTAATTAAACTAATTAAAAGTTGACGGATGTGAAAAAGGAATAGCGCTTGCTCACGGCGGGGCTTACGGCGTGGTACTTGGCTATTTTTATTTTACGTAAACCCCACAATTGGAGAGCCAAATCCATAGCAAGCGTGCGAACACACAAACCCACAAACCCCGCCACAAACCCACAATTTGTTTTTACTTTTATATATAGAAGAAGATAGATAAATAGAAATGAACGAGATATTGATAAGACACATGTACAGACGCGATGTCACGATGCCACGATGCCACGTGGTGATGGTGGCATAACAACTGTACATGTGACAATCATATGGCCTGCCAGCACTCGGGAAGTTTATTTTACGTGGCCCGCTGGGAAATATAGACGAAGAAGACTGCCGTGTTGCATGTGCTGTGTTAAGATTATAAACAATGCGTCTTATTTTGTATATTTTAATTAATTTAAAACAAGTTTGTTGGAAACCTGTTTATTTTTATCTACCGTGGGTAGCATATTTTGCATGTTGGGTTGATCTATTTTTGTATTCCCAACACATCTTGATATATTTTTACATCATGTGTCATAACGAAATTCCACTTTGAGACCTCCTAGGTTTTCTGAATTTGAATTATTTAATAATCAAACATCAAAACTCAAGCAGGCCTGCATTTTTATTTTTATTCCTTGATTATATTTGTAAGAATTTTTGTGTTTTAACTGGTATACATTTCACATAGCGACATGTTTTAATGGTCACACATACGTAACATTTTATAGGCTATGCGTGTTTTAGCTGCTCTATGAGTGTTATGGTTGAAACTGAACATTGTTTGATCTGACAAGTAATTGTTAATTTGCCAAGTTCAGCATTATTTCATAGTTCATCTTCCATCGCTGAAAGATTTTTCTGCATTCAAGTTATTTTGTTATTTAGCACTCAGATTCATGAGTTGAAGTTGTTTGAACATTTGCAAAATCGTCTCATTTAGAAATTGTATTTTATCTCAAAGCAAAACTGCATTTTATGTTCAAATAGTGAATTAAAAAGAAACAATGCAAGAGATACAAGCAATGTGCAGTGAGCTCTGGTCTTTAAAAAAATTACTGATATATTAATTCTTAATGTTTATTCACATGTAATATTTGTAGGATTGCTATATATTGGTATTCGGTCTTGATTTATAGCCACGTGAAGGTTAAGTAAGATTATCTGTGTGAATTCTGAAAGCAGTGGAAATGTTATCTGCAGTAATGGTCGAGGATAAAGTATTGCAATTCCCAAATCAAAGAAACCCACAAAATAATGCCTTATAGCAGATTATTCAAGTGAGTTTAAATTGCTTAAGATCATCTTGTCACAGTTAAAATTAGATCAGTTATTTCTCCTAAATATAAATTAGTTTTTTCCCCTTAAGAAATTGTGTTGTTGGCTTAGAAAAAAATTACATGCCCTTCAGTGTTTCAAATATAAGAACTAAGTAACAAAGTTCTGTCGGTTTAACAGGTTGAAGTAGATAAATCCTTTAATACAAATCTTTATAACGTCCCCAGCGTTGCAAGTGTACAATGATGTTTATATATTGCTGCAGAATGGGGTTTGCACATGCCATATCGGTTGCTCGTTGGATGTTGTATTTTCAAGCTTTGCATTGGGTTGTCTTGTGCAGCACTGTAGGTAAAGGTGCTCGTAATTTCTAATGTTTTATTGTGTGATGTCAACGTGTTTCACAGCGATGACTAGCCCATACACCTTAAAAGTATTACGTCCTTGAGCAGTTTAAGGATTGATACATTCTGAATTTAGTGTTCACAATACTAAATCATGTACCTGACAAGGACAGAGAGAATGGCTATAGTTTGTAACCTGTATTGCCAATGGAATTGTTACTGTAGTAAGCTAAGATGTATAGCATATAAACAATATTTTGAAAAAAATGCAGCATTCTAATAATTCACTTTTAGTGTGAATCGTAGTGTCTTATTGAGGTATCTGGATCTGTGCCACGCACTAATTTTACGTATGTGCAAGTCAGGCATTTTTAAATGCTATCTCTGATGATTGGCACTTGTATGACTCTTGCACAGATACATTAACCGCCTGTTATTTGAATAACTAACTTAGATATTCAATTTGGATCATAGGCTAAAGTATAAGGTTTGACTGTCCAGGGTCCTGAAATGGCCTTTGGAGTCTTTATCCTTCAGTTAATTGTCTTCGAACATGGTTTCACCCTCAATGTCAGGCGGATGATTGATTTTTTCACGAAGGATTTATACACAGCAATGCTCTCTTGATATACTGCTTTTGTTGGTTATGCTTCCTTGACTCAACACAAACCACTCAAATACAGTCATTCCAAAAGGTACCTTAAAAGTGTTGCTCTTACCAGACGGTAATTAAATTTCATCATAATGCTAAGAGGGACATCCTGCTGGAGATAATTTTTCATTTGCCTAGTTACAGCTTACAACATGTTTTGCCAGTTCCTTGCAGGACCGTCATGCGAGATCATCTGTCCATCCACTAATGTGTCCGCACTTTTGTTTTTAAAGCCAGTCCTGAGGTTTCCCCTCTGTTTTCTTCATGAATAGTGATGCTTTTCACTATAGAAACGTGTCTTCCAAGTTTTCCCTCAAACTCCACGTTTTGTTTGCCTTGTGTAAATATCTTGAACTCACACGGATCTTTGTTACCCCACACCCCCTTCCTTGACAAAGTTTACAAACAAAGCTAATGAGATGAATCGCCTGGCCGCTGATCAAAATTGGTGACACCGCACGGTCCACTCCGTTCAGTTCTTCATCATTAGTGGGTTTTCCGCAGTGGTCTTTTGTATGATTTAGTCAACTGTGTACTGTCTTCTGTGAAAAAAAGAGCTTTATAGCTCATCGGATTCCTCCATTATACATAAATAGGCGCATTCATATTTTGTTTATCTTATCAGTTCGTCATTTTGTTGAGCATTTGCCTCCTATATGACCGTAGCCTAAAGTGTCAAAATGTAGCCTAAAGTCTCAAACCCGAATGGATGTCATTAGATGCTACTTCTCTGCTGAAAATACGTTTCCTATCAAATTAGATTAGCAACGATTTTCCAAAATAAAAATCCATAATCATGTATTATTTTAAATCGATTCACTTGGAAACAATCGTGTAACAGATGTATTTAAAAACAAATGTTGATGATAGAAAAGTAAATTATTTATAACTTTTTTCGTGTTTAGTTTTTTGTCTTTACCTCCCGCACCTCCTATTAGCACGGTTGGCTACGTACGGTACGAAAGAAGTTAAGCATACATTATTGTACGTACATACGTATTAATTAGAAACATCTAAATGCAGCTTACCAGTATCATTAATTCTATTTGCGAATGTCCTACATAAAACACACATGGTTCTTATTGACTTTTGGGTTGCGCGTGATACATTCATTTAAAACCCCTACTGCCCATATATAAGGGCCTTTTATTCTATCTACTTTTGTTAGTGAGCTGTTGTAGGCTTTTTGGTTTGCACGGCAAGGCCTTCCTCAAGCCTGTCAGGGCGCACTTCTCTTCCCTCCCTCCCTGCGGACCGGTTTTGTTATGCAGCAGCACTGGCACGGCAACAAGAGTCTCTAGCATGAGCAGCAAGCGGCAGGCAGGCAGGCAAATGGTGTGAGTTCACTGCCCCTCCTCCACATGTCGGAATGCAGGTTTTACAGTGCACACTTACAGGGTAGGTTCAGAATGCGCGCACAGCCGCCTTTCCTTTTCCCTTTCAGTTGTTGTTCGTGCTCAAGTGGCATGTATTGTCAAGCCTCTAGTGTGTGTGTGTACACATTGGCGTTTTGTTTATGGAATTATTTGACAACAAGGATGGCTTTTTATTAATTGCTATCATTAGATATATTTGACTGCTTTCATCACGAATGCTGGTACAGTGTAAATTCGTCAGCGACAATC